CTTAAATGTAATTTGCATGATTGTACTAGTGACTATTTTTTACATTGAATTGAATCTGTGACAATTATTTTTGGCCCTTGATTTTACTATTGTGGTAAGTAGGAACACTGGATCTGTATTACAATGTGAAACAGGTAGTAACAAAGTACTTATTGAAGAAAAATCTGTAAGCAGAGTAATGTACATGTTGAGAATGAGGTTTTCCTAAAAATTTATTTTGTATTTTTGAATAATTCAATGCATCAGCAGTATAACAAGTGCCTTTATGAGAAGACCAATGCACTGACCAGCCAGTATCAGTTTTACAAAGCTGTTTTGTTGCAAGATAATAACAGCATTAAAATGTTTGTATATAAAGTTACTACACAAAAAAAGGAAAACATATATGTCACACATTTGAAATGCAAAACTGTGTATGTAGATACAGGTTATGCATATAATGCACATGAAGTCATATTTTAAAAACCAGGTGACAGATAGTTCATTAATAGATTGATGTTAAACAATTAGTTGAGCCTATGCAGAATATCAGAACTCACTGAAATTCTGATGAGACAAGCATGGTTATTAAGGACAGAGACAGTGGCAAGCCTAAAATTTGCGTGAATATTGGCATTCTACACCTGTGAAGAAATAGTCCAAAGGCATAATTGCTAAAGCCAAAAGGGCACTTCCTGAATGATCATTGCATTTTAATGGCCATCTGGAAGGCTATCAATATGGAAGAGGAATCTCTTAGGGACAGGGCATCAGGAACTTTTTCTTAGGAGCTAGGGAAGGCTATTCCTAACGGCTGTGTTCCTCTGTTCAATTTGGAAAGAGCCCAGGCTAAACACTGCCCAGGCCAAACACTGACCCCACAGATCAGAGTAGTATGTATAGCTTGAAGCAAAGTTATTTCTATCATGAGTGCTCAACTCTGTTCATTTTGTTGGAATTGAGATGGCCTGTGTCTTTCCTGTCATGTTTCTTTACCTACAAGTTTCTCTTGGAAACTATTAGATGTGAACAAAGTCTATTCCTAACAAAGGCCAATGGAATCCATTTGATTGAGCCATGATATTATGACATAAGCTTCCAAGAAGGTTTTGAAATTCTTCCTTGGTATACCAGTGTAGCCATGGCCTCCTGTAACTGTGAAATAATTATTTTTCAGGCAGGAAACATTAAAAATCCCATGGAGAGACAGCCAGAAAAATCACACACACACACACACACAAACACACACACACACACACACACACACACAAGAATGAGTGCTATTTGTGCAATTTTGTCTTAACAGAACAGTGGTCCAGAGACATGGTTGTCAAGTGCCTACAACACACAAAAACCACATATGCTGACATTTTCCCATTTGTGTCTTGATTAATAAAAAATTTCCATATGGTTACATATATAATATTTGTTTTAAAAATATTCATGAAGATGTTGCTTCTGTTTCCCTTCCAGGATAAAAAGAAAAAATGTTACAGGGTCACATTTTCATTTGTAAAATGTTGGAACTATCTTTCTGGGAATAATATGAGATACTATAAATGGGCACACAATATAGGAATATGTTTCTTAGTTATGAACACATGCACTACAGAGCATGAAGAAGATACTCCTGGCAACTCTCATGAGTATTTATATGTTCCAAGTAACTTACTGTAAGATAGTTGGAGTCCTCTATTAAACTAAATTAAGTCTCAGGGGATATTATAAGAACACTCATTTGCAAAACTACCTTTATCCTTCTTACCATTTGTTCCTGTGTGAGGTAGAAGGACACAACAAAGAGCGGGTGTCCCTTTTGGCTATCCATTAGTGTTTTGCCTAGATTGCATTCCTGGATGATATGTTTCTTGGTATAATTAAAGTTTACTAATGATTCCAATTTTAATATTTAAAGGGGACGAGGGAATTGAAATAAAAATAATTCTCCTGTGAATAAGAACAACCAACATTCCAAAAATAAAAGGGAAAACCCAAATGAACATAAAATCTTTTGAATGAAGTGCTCTGGGAAATTAATTGAAGAAAAATTTGTTATTGTATTTTCAATAGATACAACAACATCTATGTTTGCTGCTGCCAGACTTCCAATTAAAGTTCATTAAAATGTCCTGATATAAGCAGTTTTCATTTGCCAGCAACCTTTTTACTTGCTCCAAAACTGTGTAACAAAGGTCCAAATTTATATAAATTAAATCAGTAGAGTATATATCCATGTAAAAGTATACTTATTATTTTACTATGTTTTCATAATACAGCATGACTTTCCAGGTAGCACATCTCAAATCAGATGTAACTATTTTGATTAATTCATTGTGTCTTAGGAGCATGAACAAGTACAATTCAGAAATTCACAATTAATTCAACTATTTGTTTGGAGAGAGAAACAGCATCAGCAGGGACACCATTAGGAAGTATTTGGAGGACAAGGATGAACAAAGACAGGCAGAAAAATATGCATTTCAAGGGAGACAGGGAAGGAAGGAGCCAGAGTGTGAGACAGAGTGCAACATGCACAGTCTCGACCACAGCCACCACTACAAGAACAGAAAAGAAACTAGCAAGTCCCTCTTGGAAGATCCTAAGTATGCACAGCTCATGTAATGAGATGTACAAAGGAGAATTTTAGGTATCTTTTAAACCAAGGGTCCATTTCTGAACATTGTATCTCTCTAAGCCTCGTGGTTCACGTGTTAAGTTTACATCCAAAATTCTTCAGAAGTACTCCTTTGATGAAAATCAGAATAAAAAGACAGTAATTAGTAGCATTAAGTAAATGCCTAGGAATTTATCTCAGAGATGTCCCTGCTTAACATACCCAGAGATAGGAATCATCCAGGAAGGCAACTATTTGACAAATCATCTTGAGACAGAACCAATCTCATTTTTAATAATTATGAGTGAGAATGACTGATTAGCAAGGATGGATACACAGTAGCCAATGTACCAACTGATCTTAAACACACTTGTAGTTTCTTGGAGTCATGAAAACCAGTTCATTGCCTGTGGCATACAGAATCCCTGTATACGTACAATACCACTTTAACCAGACCCAGATGTTACCATTCTCTGGTAAGAAAAAAAGTTGCAAGAATATCATGAAAGGATACAGCATCCAAACCCTGCCATTCTCTAGCCCCCCAAATAATCAAAGAGTCAAATGACACAAAGGCCAGGAAGTATGAACAAGACATGCATCTCTTACAAGTTTTGGGTTGAGCTTAGACAGAATATGGTACTGTTTAAAGAATAGTAACACATTAAGTCAAGTTGTTCAAATTTTTTATACAAAGCTCTTAACTGCATAAGATGTGTACGCCCAGGAGAAATGGTTCTTTGAGCATTTCTGTTAACTCTCAAGACGATTTATAGTAAAGATCCAATAAAGTCATGTTTATATTTAATGAAAGCTTTGTTTTCTTAGAAACAGCATAGATTATATCTTCTTGTTAGCGACCTTAATTTTCTTCCTAACTGCTGAAAAAGAACTGTCATTTTGGAATCGTAATTATTGCTATTCTCGTTTGGATTCAGAGTTAGAACAGTGAGTAGAGACTTTTAACTATGAACACATGTTAAAGATTTAACTGAAATAAAAGTCATATGGTCAACAATGTGCATTTGCCATAATTGCTGTGTTTCCATAGAACAATAAAAAACAATTAATTTTGAATTGTGTTTCTCCACAAAGACCCTGTAACTATTTTATCTATATTAAATTTAAAATTTAGAGACACTGCTTAGAGAATGAAAACTAGAATTGATAAGCTAACTTTGTGTCCTTTAAATATAAAAATGAGTTATGGTAGTTTTCTGTTCGTCTCACTTCCATGTAACCTTTGAGGTATAGAGGGAAAATACCTCTGCACTGATCTATCTGTGTTGTCAGATGTTGAGGATTTCATTCTGTCTAGCCAGCTCCAGACTAAAAGTTAGAATTCCAGAATTTCCCATACACCAGGGCCTCATCATTAGCTACATTAGTATATTGGTTCATATTTAAGCCTCTATAATAGTTTTAGTTATTAAATTGGCTGTGGACATGAACATGCACATAAACAAATGTATGAAATATAAGCCCTCTTTGGCTGTGTCAAGTAATGTGCTGGAGGTGGCTTGGTTCACAGGAAATGATAGTATTTATCCTTCCCAAGTTTGCTTTCAGTGAGGCCATAATTGCTAATTTGTTGTCAGCTATAGTGGTATAATTTCCACTATGTGAATTGGAAAATGATAAAAATGAGGTGCTTTGTATTAACTATTTGGTAAAGGTGGTACACAAAAGGTCCGAGTATCAACCCAGGATCTTGAGGTTTTGCCAACTTTGCTTTCTGCAGTGGAAACTCTGAAAAGCCACAGAAGCACCTGAGCATCTGGGTAGATTTGGTTATTATCATCACGTTGGGGCTCTACACAGAGACATGCCTGTTTTGTAGCCACATAATTGATAAACTCGATAAAACATTGGAATCCCCCTGGATAAGGCAGCTGGCTTCCAGCTGTGGAGATTAACAAACAATGATTCTCCATATGAAAGAGTTATCCTCAGCTGAAAGCATCCACCAGGCCATTCTTCAGGAGGGTCTGCGTGCCTTTCTGCATGCTGCTGCTCACAGGCAACTGCTTGTATGCAAGCAGGCCTGTATTTGCTGCTGCAGCATCCCACCACCAACCCGTTAGCAGGTTTCTTTTGCTTTCCCTTTCCCACCTCAAAGTCTGATACAATCAAACAGCCAAGAAAATAGAGGTCATTGCCAAAAGAGTTTGCAATTTTGAATGATTTTTATTAAACACCATTAGTCTACACTGCACAGTTAATGAAACAGCAAAGCTCCAATCTCAGATGATTGACCATGGATCTGAAAAGCAGTTCAGTGTCCCCTAACCCAGTGTGAGCACTATAAATGATTCTTTAACATTTTATGTCAGAAGCAGTAAGGGGCATGAACTGCAGTCTGGCCTCCAAGGGCTTTCCCACCCTCCACCCCCCACCCACACCCCCCTCTGCCCTCCCCACAATGCAGTTTTCTTTTTGTTAAAAGATTACAGAGGAAAATGTGATGCTCTTGGTACAGAGGGCTTCTAGATTCATGAGGAGGGGAATGGAAAGGGAACTAACACTTTCTCTTTTGCTGGAAATATCAGATGGTAGGATTAACGTCTGAGAACAGCCTATCTGATTAGTCCCCTGCCAGGGTAAATGTTGATTATCAATACACAGATGCCATTTCTGTCACTGGAGTTTGCTAACACCAAAGAGAATGAATCAGAGTTTAATTATGAGAATAAGGCTGTGCGAGTGGAAATGTGAAACAACAACAGCAACAACAAGAACAACAATGACAAAGAATTGAGTCTGCCAGTTGTAACAGAACCCTGACAACTGGCTCAATATTTTTCCCCACAGAGTAGAGTTTGGGGGCACTGAATCACCCATTTGTTAGATATTGTGTAGCTATTTCAACTTGCCACACATTTTTCTCAGTGGGGATAGTGATGCTTCTCTAAGCAAGCAGTTCATTGCTTTACTGAGTAGTCCTACCCAGTGATCCAGTTTGGTTCTCCCACCTGCTAACTCATGCAGGTGAATTTTATTATGTCTGTTGAGAAGGAAGTAAGGGCTTGACCCTTAATACTTAATCAAGTCTGCCTTCAAAAGTGATTTTCAACTTCAAACTCTAACTTCAACCTCCGGGATCCAACTTCAGATAAAACAAAATCTGATTTAGATAGCTTCAGGTATAGTACAACTAGCATCTTTCCAAAGCAGACCAAATCCAATGTGTTTAACCATCCATCCACTTGGAAACTCAACAAAACATATTTTAGGCAATGGTATCTAATTTTGCTACTTTTGACTAAAGATTTGGATCTTTTCATTTCACTACCTGAAAGAAAAAAGATATATCAACCATAACTATTTAAAAAGCTGCAGAAGCTTGTCTCCTTTTTCCAATTATGTTGTCTGAATATAAAACTACTAGCTTTTCCCAATGAGATTATTAGGCAATTAACAGTCTATATGCTGGCTAACAACATGCTTACAAGTAAATTCTACCCCAAGGACCACACTACCAAACTCTTTTCAAATTAATCCTACCTACAAAACTCAGACAGTAATATGACAAAACCACTAAAAAATCCAAAGCTAATTAAAGGTACAAAACCAAGCCAACATCATAACACAAACTTGTCTGACTCTCTATAGTTGGAACTTGTGTGATAAATGAAGGCATAGTGCTGGCCCTACCTAGTTGTAGGACTGTGCTTATTTCTTGTATTTGTTTGGCAGGGGCGCTGTCTATTACTCTGCCCATCACCACACCTGCACAGACTTGTTTGGATGTGGCTCACTAAGCCTCCACCAATATCCAAAGGCACAATCTGTTACTGCCTTCCATATTTCTCATATCCCTCCCACTTAACTGGTATACTGAAGAGATTCCCTTGACAAAGTCCTCAATCTTTCAATCGTGCAGATAGCTACACACCCATGATGAACATCACCATTTGTACTGTGATGACCAGAGTGCCTAGGAAACAGTAAAAATTCTTAATAAGGAAACCAAAGACACCCCATCTCCAGGGATAGGAAGATATTCCATTCATCCTCCATGTTTAATTCATTTCTACAAGTGGGTCTACTAAATAATCAGTTGGTGATCCAGAGCTCAATTGCCACATTTGATAATCATACTGCTGACATGACACTTTTTATTCAGCCACCATAGATGACAGAGCATCTTCTTGCCTCCCTGTTGTATATAAGAAGATAAAACAAGTTGTGAAAATTAGAGCTACAAGTCTTTTCCCTATGTGGCAATTTGCTTGTTTCTATGGAAAACTGCCCCTACCATTATAATTTATAGTTTCTGGAAACTTAACTTCAAAAAGAATCTGTATGTAAATCTAGGATGGCCTAGGATTGTGGACTAGGTTTAATTTACAAGTCAAGCCAGTAGGTATCATTATAAAGCAATAACCAGGAAAGATTCCAGGTAGGCCATGGAAAACAGAGAACTGGAGTTACTGAAAGTCATCAGCTCATTTATTTCATGTGACACCCATCTGTGGTGTTTTGTCTTTCACGTTTTCATTTTCCTCATTTAAGAGGCATAGAAAAGGTTTAGGTTTCATTTGTGTGTGTGTATAAATGTAAGTGTTGTTGTTGAAACTGTAGACTTAGAGCTCAACCACATTGGGAGCAGAAATAGTTTAGGCTTCGGCAGCTAGGGTGCACATATCACCTGTAGAAACAGCATGGCTTTAGCAATTGCAATGCAACTCCCATAACTTTATTATACAACATAGGGCCTTAAACTCAAAAATGATTAGAGCAGAACTCAAATCTGGCTCTTTTGCAACTGCGGAAGTACCTAACCTTTCCAATGAGAGTACAGAGTGATTGCCTGCTGTTTTTAATCACAGACCTGCATAACTTGCTGTAGAAATCATACAAGTTTGCGTCCTTCATGTACGTATCTATTATTTATCTGGTCATAACTTAGTGAAGAGAATTCAATAACTCAGCAGAATAAAGGTTACATGGAATTATATGCCAGCAGGCAATTAGAAGTAACTAATGAATGTATAGTGTTTACTATTTCTGGAGACATTTTTCTGGTGGGCTGGAACACTGAAGAGGATATTTACAGGGTGATGTTTAGGGACATAAGATGAAAGTAGAGGATCAAAAGGAGAGATAGTCATAATTCATAAGGAAAAGCTCCACATTAGCTGAACTGTTCCCAAACTTCAGGAGAATTTGTAAGGGTCCCAGGGTGAAGCACTACCCCAAGATTTTTGTCATTTAAAAAGAAGAGTTAGGTTTTACTTACAGAGTTTAGTGTTTTCTTTCTAATTTTCATGTAAATGATTCATAATAATATAAACTTTAATAAGAATCAGTGATTGTATTTTAGCCATGATCTCCTGGAAGAAATAATAACAGAGTGGGAAAAGGAAAAAAGTTCTAGAAAATATGGATAATATTTGGAAAGTCCAGATAGAGAGGACATTAGGAAACTAATTGTACGTTATTAATTCTAGGAAGTGATAATTTGACTTTTGATTTCACACATTTGATATGCAAATCTATGAAAATACTTGACATTAAAGATTTGCCTACTGGCTACAAATGAGGCAGAGGCAAGAAATTCTTTGAGGGCTGTCCTTCAGTCCAGTCTGACTTCTCAAGTCTAAGATGAGTGTGATATTTTGATGACTAAGATGTGCATCTGTCAAACTGCTCCTTGTAAAAGGAACTTTGCACAAAGAGAATCCCAGGTAAGGAGTTGACCTGATGCCATAAAGTTATCCAAATGTTACTTCTCCTTCTCACCATTAAAATAGTAGGAAAATAGGTAATCATTAACAGGATGTTAACAAAAGAGTGTTCTGGTTGCAATAGTAGAATTCTTATGCTTGTACTTTTCTTGCTACTCCTGATTTTATAATATAGTTAAAATACAAAATCTATGAGTTGTGATAATGGAGATTCTCATGTGAAGATTTAGTTTGTGAGAATCACAGATAATGTTTAACAGTGGATTCTGAAATACATTCTTTTCTGGACCCAAGAGCATAGTTTGGGGAATGGCCACTGCTGAAATCTCTGCAGGTCCCTTGTTCACATGTATATTAGACCGCTTGTTTGAGTTCTCAGGAACCTCTCATCATCACATGTGCTTCTAATTCTTTGTTTTGAATCATGTGGATTTAAATCAATATTGTAGGAATTTAGATTCCATAAAGCACAAAAATAATGAGATATGAGAAATGCATATCAAATATAAAAAAACATACAGTTCTCACAAGTTGTAGTGTCCACTAACAATGACTTCAGTTTTATGCAGACATCAAAAATGCATAAAAACAAACATAACGAAAGAGAACTTTCCCAAATGAGTGGAGTTCCACCAGTGACCGTCCAGGCACTGGTAAAGGTAGGGGGTTAATGCTAGAGCTGGGAGAGTGCCCACTACAACAAATGGGCATCGATGCGCAGCCAACACAGTCCCTGGCGAACATAGCGGACTAGATTGGTCATGCTGCTGTGCTGGGTCAGAGGCCCCATCAGTGTATCCAGATCGCCAAAGAATTCTGAAAATCAGAGCAGTACATGGTCAAGCTTTTATTTAACATCAAGGAACCATGCATCAGATGAAAAAGCTTTACTTAATACCATAAATATTCAGTCATTGAAACATTTATTCAGTTTTTCATCCACCCATTCATATATTCCTTCATACAACCAAAATATAAAGGGCTTCTTAGGTTACCTATCTATGTATCTATCTATCTATGTACCTATCTATCTGTCTATCTATCTAATATCATCTATCCTTATGGAATTTATATATACTTATCTTTATATATGTATGAATTACACATATATAATATATATAATTAGTTTATGTTTATTGAAATCCAAAAACTTGACAACACAATGTTTGTGTTATTGCAATCAGTGAAACAAAACTAATTTAAATTTGTTAATTCATGGTAAGTATTTTTTAAAAAAAACTCTATCCTTTCTCAAACAGCATGTTCGAGAACATATTTGTTACATGATCTCTCTCTCTCTCTCTCTCACACACACACACACAAAACACACACATATTTGGCAACATATTTCTGTAAATGTATGAGAATATATTTGTTTGTAAAATATACAGAAAATACATAAATATAGTTGAATATTGTACATAGTATGTTTGTATAAAATATTTTATATAATATATATATGTGTTATAACATTTTAATGAAAGCTCCCTAATGCAATAAATAGATCCTGATAAGCATCATGATTTCTGTAATGCAAAAAATTTTATTTATATGCTATTAAACTGAAAATATATTTTCTTTTGGTCCAGGTGCACTTTTTTTCTGATCTTTTTTGACAGAGTATAGGAAACTCAAGTGAACCTGAGTATCAATTATGGCTATTATCATCCAGAACTAAATACATGTCTTGGAATAATCTGGGTTAAGAAGCTTTGCTACTGATTTCTTGGGGTAGAAAATGACCTGTAAGTATCCAGCACATGCCAACTTCTGCCACACTCTTGGGCATGATACTTCTGACTGACTTGGGAAATGGGATAGCCCTGAGGCTACATTACTAACTACTCACCTGTGTGACTAGAATGTCTGACTGGGAGCGGGGTGTATGTGAGAAAGACTGTATGGCATCTAAAAATTCCCTAGGCACCATTTTGTTCCATATGACTTATCTGATACTTTGTTCCAAGAGGGTTCACTGACATTTTTTTCTTGTTAGCTTCCCACAGAGTCAGCCTTCCACAAGAAACCATGCCTGTGCTGGGTAAGAATGAAGAACTCAAATTGAGGGCAGGGGTGGGACTGGAGGTATCCTAAAGTGGCTGAGATGTTCTTCTGCCTTCTTGGAAACCAAATTCTATGCATAGATTACATGTACTTGATTGCTCAGCAAATGATACTTTACTGAACAAAGCATTTATTCTTTATGTTACATATAACATATGGTTCCTTTGCCAGATATCAACTTAATTTCATTATGTGATACTTTCTAACCTGGGAAATGTAATAAAAGGAATTTCTGCTAACAAAGAAATAAATTACTTCTGGCATCTAAAATATCTTTTTTGGTAATACAATACTAAATAAAATATTAAAGAACTAGTCATTGCTGAATGAATGTGAGCATTATGTGAGTTAACACATCCTCTGAACATTCTGTGAAAAGCTGTCTCTGGAATTTTAAATTAAATTTCCAGGTCACCATTTTAATGACCACTTCAATGGAGTAATATATGTACCTAGGGCAGGAAAGGGGTATGACCTCTGGATCAAAAGGCAGAGGATAGCATCAGTACTTTGGCCTGTTTCAGCACCAGAACCTTCTGTAATAAGCTATCTGCAGTTGTGGGAATGGGCAGGCAGTTGCAGGGATGAAGGCTTTCTACCAAAACAGCCAACACTGCTCATTATCCATAAACACAACTCCCTGTGAGAAAGTCTTCTACATAGTTGTCTGAGAGGGATGTAGAGTTTCTATCTAAAGAGAAGCTCCTGAGTTATGTAATTTCTACTTATGCAAGGTAGATGTAAGAAGAATCATCAAATGCAAGCAGGTAATAAATGACATGTGTTAAAAGCTAAAGGCTGTGAATACAAAATTCCAAAATAGAGTCTCTTCCTAGTCCACTGCCAAGCCCAGTGGCAGCATCAACAACACGTATTCTCTCTGTTGGTACAGTGACAGTGTTGTTTTGATTCAATATTAGGCAGAGAATTTAGTAACTCCTTGGCTGTCTGTGCTAATGACAAGATTAGCACTATTTCACCCTAGTATCAGCACAGTCATCACTGCTCCTGGAAAGTTCTGCAATTAATTTAGAAGAAATTGCTTGAACAGATTTTGAAAGTAAATGCAATTTTAAAAGGAAATCCATAGATATTGAATCTTCCTCAAATGACAAATACAAAATAAGACAGATTAGAACCAGATAAACCAGACATATCTTAAGATGCCCAGGTCTTTGCTTGCAATTGTAGAGCATTTGTGGTTGTCTACTTGCATCTGGGTTTCCAGAAGTCAAGAAAGGAGGCTACATAAGAATTGCCTTTGTTCAGATAACTGAGTTCAAGCTTTTCACCAAAGGTCTCTAAATACATGCTACTGAATATGCTTTCTGGATAGGAAGAGTAGCCTATTGGTTTGAATTCAAATTCTGGATTCAGATACTTGCTGCTTCTAGCAAACTTAAAGATATCTGATAAACTGGTAGCACAGGTCTTTTATTACATCACTTTGGAAGCAGAGGCAGGCAAATCTCTGGGATTTCAAGACCAACCTGGTCTACAGAGTGAGTTCCGGGACAGCCAGGGCTATACAGAAAAACCCTAATGGGAGGGAGAGTGAGAGGGAAGAGTGTGCAAATATTTTAACTTCAAATATCCTCAGTGCTCAGTGTCTTCAACTATAAAATAAGGACAAATTAGACAGCAAAAACTAAACAGAGTAGTACACAGGATATAGCAATCTGTACAAACAGATATAACTACATGCATGTATTCTTAGGAGTCAATTAAAGTTGATAGCAGGTTCACAGTTAATGTCTCAAATTATTAAATGAGCTTTGGTGAGCATACAAGTGTGTGTGTGTTGCATATAAATGCATGCATTTCTATTTTTACACAGTTGTTACGGGGTGCATATGTGTTTGGGTATATGTGGAAGCCAGAGTGTCTCTGTCTCTGTCTCTCTGTGTCTGTCTCTGTCTCTCTCTGTGTCTGTCTCTCTCTCTCTATGTGTGTGTGTGTGTGTGTGTGTGTGTGTGTGTGTCTGTGTGTGTGTCCTATATCCTCTTTCTGATCTTTGAAAATTCATATAAATGCCTAGGAACTAGCACAACCCACGTCTACTCCAAGCAACCTAGATTGTGGAAGAGGCTAATTGCTCCCCATTATTAGTCATACTTCTATTACTCTAGCCTGTTTGTTACCTATTTCATGTTGATTCTAGTAGAGCCCCATAAGTTCCTACCTTGTTTGCATCTGGACTTTCTATAATGAAATTTATAGAATGAACCACAGCAAATTAATGGCCAGAGCAAAAGTGTGGTTTTGGTTTTACTTCACAATGATATTAGGTTGGTAAGGCTTTATTTGGAGTCTAAATGACGGCTGAGGTCATGAATGGTAGCAAAAGTCATCAATGGTTATTGATTTTTGTGAAACAGGGTTTCCTTTGCATTTGTTCTGTAGAAAAACTTGTGTTTCTATAAATAGGACCTTAATAGTCCTATAAGTGTGTGAAGAAATCCTAGCTGATGTTTAGTCCTTATTTGGAAATGCAAACTGTGTTGTTATATATTCATCTGTAGCTGATATGTATAATAAAGGTACATGACCTTAGTTCTACCTAACCTCTCAAAAAATAGACAGAAAACAACAAGATCTTTTTTGAATTACTCTTTTTGTCTTAGTAACCATTTCTCTATATGAACCTTGTCATTGAGTGAAATTCTGAAAATAACATGTCTTAAAGGAAAATAAATATTTAGGCCTTTACTAACTCTAAATGTAAAAATATGTCACTATTTCAGTCCTAAGCTAACTTCCTATCAACTGAGACATAGATATCAGAACTGAATAATGTAAGACTATTAGGTACAAGGGACCTAGTCCTTCAAAGCATAAGTGACTGAATCCTCATCCTTAAGCAAAGAGTAGAACATATAATCATACCTTTATTGTCTCTTGTCAGTTTGTCAGCCATATCCCAGTGTTCATAGCCCCGGAGCACATTACTGGTAATATTGACATGGCTAGCAGCCATATGGTGGATGCGCTGGGGGATGGTGACAGGACCATTGTTACAATTTCCCATTGTGTTAATGGGAGAAACATTGTTTAGAGACACTGGGGATGGAGTGTTCCTGGAGAATGGAAAGACATAGGCCAGGTTAAATTGGTAGGGAACAGTGATACAATCGTTTTAGACTCATACAGCATGGAGGATCCCTTGTCACAGTGGAATCTATTCAGAATACCTCTATCCAGAACAAAGTTTAGTGTGATAAAGATTTACAAAGCTTCAATTGAGTCCCCACATCTCAGTGCCTCTTCTAAGACATCTTATAACTCTGATCAACATCATAGATTTATTTGGAGACACTGGTGTAGGGGAAACCTATTGCCACTGCAGATCTATACCATCTGACTAGCCCACCCAGGGGGTATAGTGCTGGTTCTAGAATAAATCACCTGTGTTCATTTTCTAATTGGAAATACTGAAGTTCTCATTGTCTCAAACAACTGTAGAGCCCTCTATGTACACTGCTGTTTTTGTTTGAAAACAGAGAGAGGAAGATGGAGAGGAATAGGGAAAGAGAGAGTTACTTGGGTGAATCTTTCTCTAGCAATAATACCACTTACAAATGTAGCTCTTGCTTTGAGTATATATGACATGTTACAATGTTTCAAGAAAGAAACAGCTCAGAGCAGTGATGCTTATACCTCTTCAGAATGGCAACTGGCAGTTAGAAAACATGATGTGAAATATTGGTCTATCTTCAAAGAGTTTTGTGGAAACCACAGTGACAGTTCATCACAAAAACAGTTGGCACAATAAGCCAAGTGTATTTTTAAAGCCCCTCAAAGTGCAGCTTTAGAGAAGCTAGAAAAAAGTATGACTTTGAGTATCTGTTAAGGATTTTCTAAGATGTGCAAAGGAGGTGGGCTGTTGACTGGTGATTGTTTAACTTCATGTTGGTTTATAAATAGGAGTCTTCCAAGAGCTTATTTTTGACAGTTCCAGTATTTGGACACGTTTTGTTGAGTTCTTTGACAGCAGTAACAATGAGTTACCTGTTGTCTACACATAGCTTCAAAGTAACTATTTTCAGGACCTAAGCTTAGCATAGTGATGTAGACTTGCCTAAAGACAAGCCTGAATGCATGAGCAATCTCCTGGCCATGGCAGCAAGATCTATGCACCACTCATAGGGAGCCTTTTTTCAGCCATGCTTTGAAGCAACTTCCTGAATAGATGTATCCACTTTGGGCAGGACATCTTGAGGGAGTAAAAGAAATAGGCAGCACTATGTGGTGACACATTCCCATAGCTGCAGATACCTGAGAGGCTAAGAAATGAAGTTTGTTTAGGGTAAGGATTGGAAACTAACCAGTCTAGGCATCAAAACCAGATAAAGTCTCTTAGAAAAAAGCAAACATACACAACAGAAACAAGGCAGAATTATATTTAAGACTACATGTTTGAAGGAACCTCTTCTCCATGGAAGAGCATTGCCATGAAGCCCCATACCATGCTCCAATCCCTTACCAACTTCTATTATTGACAACTTTGTGTCTCCAAGGTTTCTCAGAGTCTGTGTCTGCTCATAGCTTAGAGACACACTTGTTTGGAGAATGGGTAACATACACCAAGATGCTGAAGTGCTGTTGACAAATTTTATGAACAACTGCAGCTGAAATCCTGTTCTTCAGATACATATAGATTTTTCCCACAGTCATGAGGGAAAGTTCAGGCATTTCTGCAAATGGAGTCTGTCTTATGGTATGTTCTATTCTTGGTAGAAAGGTGGATCTTCAAATTTCCTATGTATTTGTGTGGTTGAAGACCATGTAAGGGTTTTCACATCATGTTTATGAATTCTGAAATATTTTCCTGATTCTCCATAGCATGATTTATTCTCAAGGCAGGGATGGGATATGAGGATTCCTAAGCTAAGGAACATTAGCAAGCAGGGCTACTTAGTCATATAAAAATAAAATTCTTTGACATCACAGGTTACACATGCTAATTTATAATACTTTTTCTTTAGTGATTATCATTAAGTCTTAAATATTAGTTTATAGCTAGAAAACCATACATTCTCATTTGTAATCTTTAGAGTAAAATGGCAAAGCTGTCAGGAGACACATATTGAAAAACAAAATATAGGTGCTAGAATCCCAAGATTCTATGATTCTAACCCCATCTTACTACAAAATTGCTATGTACCACCAAGCATGTCCATTCTCTTTGACAGGCCTTACTTTCTTACACTGAAATAGCAGATTGGATTTAGTGTTTTCTATCATGTCTGTAAGTTGTAAGAAAAAAGTAAAGCATGTTTCTTTGCCTCATATATCTTGAAAAGTCTATTTTCATTCACACATTTAGTCTAAAAAAGATCAATTTCATAGAAGTAGCTGGTAGAATCATGGCTAATATAGGCTAAGAAAGAGAAGATGGGATAATTTGACAGCTGGTCCAGAACCCAGTTATTTACACAGGAGTAATAAGTTATAGTGTTCTACACACAGTAGGGCAAGTATAAGTTTTATAAGAACTTACTACATGTTTTTTCAGGAGAAGAATTCTAAGGTTACCAGCAAACAGAAATAGTGCATACTTAGGAACATGAAATTCTGATTATCCTGATTTGATCGTTATATACCATGTAATTTTATCAGATCATCACATTGTCCCCTTGGTCTCCTTTGACCTCATGGATTACATGGCCCCCTTCATTTCTCCTTGCTTGGAATCCTCAGTTGCAGATATTCCATGGCCTGCTCTGTCATCCTTTGCCAAAATCTTAGTCAAGATCGTTTCGCTGCTTCTCTTGCTCCAGGAAAATTTTCTCTTGCTTTTGTTTCTTCTATACAATTAACAATAATCTAGACTTATATAATAAAAACTTTAAGACTTTGAAGAAATAAATTGAAGATGACAGAAAGATATACAATGCTTATGGATTGGTAGGAACTTACAGAACATTATAATCTCCACTGAAATTTCAACTCAATTCTTCATTGAAATTGAAAAACAATCTTAGGTTTCAATTAGAAACACAGGCATGCACATATGCACACATAACAAGATAACAAAAGCAATCTTCAACAATACAGGAACTGCAGGAGGTACCACTATTCCTGATTTCATGTTACACTACAGAGCTATAGCAATAAAATAGCGTGGTACTGGCATAAAAACAGCCACATTGATCGATGTCAGAACTGAGATCCCAGATATAAATATACACACCCAGGGCACCTTGCATTTTGAAAAATAAGTAAAAAATACACACAGGAGAGAAGGCAGAATCTAACAAATTCTTCTGGTCAAACTTTATAGCTACATGTAGAAGAGTGAAACTGGAATATCATATATTGTTAATTATATTTCTCTTCTAATAGAACAGAATGCACACCAGGACTAGGATTTTCATCAGTTTCCTCCTATGCTATACCACAGCATTCTAGAACATTGCCTGTCAAAAAGCATATATTCAAACAATACCAATTGAATTTCCTTATTTTGTAACCATTATAAAATGCTCTTGAACATATAAAGAGAGCAATCTGCAATAGTATAATTGGTATTTGCTTGTAAAGGTGCAGTGCCCGTGCCACAAGCAACCCCGAGGTATTAGGAAAGAAAAACCAGATGTCCAGCTGTTTGTACTAAGAAGTGTCTTTATTTTGCAAGTGCCAAGAGGTCTCTCCCTTGTAGGAGGAAGCAGTCTTATATATAGTTTTACAACGCAGTAGAAAAACCCCAGGTGGAAGAGAGCATGTTTTCCTCGTGCTACATGTTGATGTCAGTGGGGCAATGCTGGGGCAGTAAACCAGGACTAGAAAACAGGATGCACCTGTGGCTATCAGCTGACAAACAACTCAGAGACCCTGTGGGGGCTAGGCCCCAACATAAAAGCATTGGCAGAATGTTTGCTATACTATAGGTTCTTGGCAAATGAAACAATGAATGGTCCCTTATTTAAAAGAAATACACAAGGGAGCTAGAGAGAGATGCTCATTGGATAAAGTGCTTACTCTGTGAGCATAAGGAGCTGAGTTCAGATCCCAACACTCACTTCAAAAGCTAGGCATGATGGGTAGCACCCATAATTTCAGTGCTGGAAAGTGGTGATAAATAGATTTTAGGGACTCCTTCTGTAGCCAATCTAGACCATCCGTGAGCTCCAGATTCAATAAGAGATTACAACTTTAAAAAACAAAGTTTCCTAGAACCTCCATCCAGTGACAGATGGAAGCAGAGACAGACACCCACAGCTAAACACTGAACTGAACTCCTGGAAACCAGTGACAGAGAGGGAGAAGTGATGAGCAAAGGTGTCAAGACTGGATTGGTGAATCCCAGAGAAACATCTGACCTGAACAAGGGGGAGATCTTGGACCCCAGCCTGACGGCTAAGAGGCCAGCATGGAACTGATCCAGACCCCCTGAATGTGGGTGTCAGTGAGGAGACCCAGGTTTTTGGGTAGTAGATCAATATTTATCCATGACACTCAAATTGACTTTGGGGACCCATCCCACAACGAGGGATACTTTCTCAATTTGGACACTTGGGGAAATCTTGGGCCCTCCCAGGAATGAAATGACAGACTCTAGAGATCCCCCAGGCAGGACCTTACCTTCCCTGGGGAATGGAGTGGGGATTGGGTCAGGAACTGGGGACCGGAGGGAGGGAGTGGGCATGGAGGGGAGGGAGAGGGATCTGGGACTGACATGGGAAGCAAGCTTGTTTCTAACTTAATTACACAATAAAAAATAAAGTTTCAAGTGATTAGAGGAAGATAAATGATACTGATAACTGGTCTCCAGACAAGTGTTACATTCATATACACATGTACATACACATACACTGCACACATGAATACACTGTTGTAGTGAAGGAGAAAAATTCATTATTCATTCGCAATCTAGAGCAGGGTGAGTTCAGAATAAGAGCTGTAAGATTTTGTGGAGCATGATTGGTTATGTCATCTCACTTTAAGAGATAATGATAGTAACAATAACCGTGGCAGCAGCAATAGCCACTGTTGTTTTGTTGCTATCTTTTGGTTTTGTTTTTTTATTTTTATTTTTTTGAACAGGGCACTGAGCATAGATATTACAGATTAATTACTATTATCACTAGCCTCCTGCCAACACAGATATTTGACTTGCCATTGTCTCATAGATTGGAAAAAAGACTTCAAAGTAGTCGGCTTCTTCCTGAGGGCCATGCTGCAAATTACACAGACATCAGGATTTGATGACAGGTCTGATTTCCTTTGAAGCCCTTTCTATATCAGAACTACCACACTACCTCAATCTTTCTGTGTACTTGACTAAATATTTCATCTGACATGTACCCTCTTCTATCATCATCTTTTTATCTGTATTGGTTGACTTTCAGTGTTCTCCCCAGATTCATGACTTTGTTCATACCACTATTGCCTTTCACAAGCTTGTATGTGATGGGGAGGTAGTTTTAGTTGCTATAGATGGTATTTGCAATGACCACCAGAACCCTTGCATTACTTGAACTGGCCAATGTCCAAACAAATAGAAAATTCTTTTTGTTTTAAACCGTTCAACAGAATATTCACCACTCACGTGTCTACCGAAACAGCTTTTAAGGGGACTTCAAACAAGTTTCTAAATTCAAATTCCAGTTGTTATCCCCACCTTCTTTTTGTTACCTTTCTATGAAATGTGAGATGCATGTCTAGCTCTTTAAACCCCTGCATAATGACTTCTAGAATTCTCTATCATGGATCCATAAATTTGGCCCAACTGCTTCTATGTGGCCTGTGAATTAGTAGTGATTGGAAAAGACAAGCAGTTGCAATTGATTTGATATGAGGACACACTAAATTTGCAATACAATTAAACTGTATATATAAAATATATATATATAATATACATGTATATTATATATATATAATCAAATTGATGGAGTTGAATTTCAAAACATCTACAAGTATTTTTGTTGTTATATTTTAAATTTTACCAGGAAATTCATTGTAGAAATTTGCTTCCTCTCCCCTTTTATTCTACATAATGTACTTGGTTATTCCTTGGGTCTACAAAGCCCAAAACAGGTATTATCATAGAAAATATTCTTGCTAGTTTTTCTTTACCCTCTAAAAGTATTTTTCTTCTCTTTTCTCCAATTACTTTTCTGGACATTTTTTCATAGTCTCAACAGGGATAGTTCCCACAAATCTATTCTCAAACATCTATTCATCTCTCCATGTGTTTTCCTGTGGTAGACTCATGCAAGAATAACATGTTCAGCAGTACCTCTTGGCAGGTCACTCTCCAATCACTAGCCAAGTGAGATTTTTAAGGCAGGGGTGCTGCCTGGAAGGTGCTGTGTGAGGCTGTTGAAGGAGTACACCATTCTTACTAATTGGGAAGCTAGGCTATCTAGTATTGGCTTGAGATAAGAATGCTTGTTTGGATAAGCCCAAACACCCAAACTCTTTCTACTTGTCTTCCATAGGATTTTTCTTTATACTTTTAACTTCCCTCCACTGAACTCTATTCTTCTTTGGTACAGAGATTATGTGGAATTCATCTCAGATTCCATCTGTCATACAGGGCCTGGTGTGGAGAAAATGGATTTGAAGTAGTTGCCAAAGAAATGTGATGTCATCATTGTGTGATTATTTGGAGTGGCCTCATTTAAAAGCATTACTGTCAACCAAAGGGAGTGCAGACTGAAGTTGCTAGATAAGCATTGTGTGAGTCTTTTAATGTGACCTCACAAGCTTAGAATGTATTCTGAGTCCCTCTATTTCAGAAAAAGAAATTTCCAGTGCTTCTTTACTAAGTGATCACCTGACCTTGTCCTTACGTTATTCCGTAGTCAGAGAAAAATACCTTTCTCTGGGCCTGTCAACGGTTATTCTTCTTTTTCTGAACTGCCAGAGAGAGAAACATATTTCCTTTTCGTTTGTCAAGAGTAAGAACTAATTCAACAATGGAGCAGTGCTTCCTTTTAGTGCAGTAATCGAGCTAATGTGTAGTTTTTAATGGATCTGTTCCCTCACTTTGAATGGTTTTATGATCTCAAAGTAGAGTCCAGTGGCCTATTGCTTTTGGAGTATATTTTGTAGATATTTACAGAGTGACAGTGGAGGCTATTTTACTCATGAGGAGGACGTTTTGATCTGAGATGCAAGATTTGGGTTTTTCGGGGTTTTTCTTCGAGACAGGGATTCTCTATAGCTTTGGAGGATGTCCTGGAACTCTCTCTGCAGACCAGGCTGGTCTTGAACTCACAGAGATCCACCTGACTCCGCATCTCTATTGCAGGGATTAAAGGTTTGCACCACCATTGCCTGGCAAGATGCAAGAATTTTGAGACAATAAAAATGGCAAAGGCAGTTAGCTATAACAGGCTCATTGTGAATGTGTCCATTGACATTTACTTTTTCTTACTACACTGGTAGGAAATGAGTTGGAAGGGATGGGAAACTTTTGAAACCAGAGGTGAGATGCCTAGTAATAATTGCCCTCTCTAAGGATCTTCTTCTCTGTGGCCCCAGTTGGCATAAGACCTGGCCCCTTTCATTCAGTGGGAGAAGGGCAAATCCAGAAGGTGAGGGGTCCATTTCATTTAATCAGTGAGATGTGTGCAGCCTCAGGTATACAGCAAGAGTCTCCTTCAGACGCTCACTGTAGGGTTGTGAATTCTGCGGGGCTTGGGGGGACTCTAAATTGTTAAGGTTCTAAATAAGGCTGTAAGTCTAGGGATGTCCATGAGTCCATGAGGCCATACATCCTCATCAGAATACATAATTTTATATTTAGGTCTAGGTGTTTCCATATTGATATAAAAATCTTCATGAAGACCCAGATAATTGGCTAAGTACCTTCACATTTTTAACTCTGTTATGACTTTGGTTTTATTAAACATCACTTAACATTAATCAATGTATATTTCATTGACTTTTCATTACCAAGTGAATCACTGATAAATCATTACAGTGAATTTAACTTTATCCCACCTCCCAGAAATGCCATGTGGCTTGTTATCCCTTTAGCAGGTATTTTATGGCCATAATTTAGCTTACAGATCTTTAAGGAACCACATCAGATGAAACTTTTCTGTCTCTCTATCAGCTGAAGTCTGGCTAGAATTCTGTGTGCACAAAAAAAAATGACTGCCATCTTGAAATTGTCCTTCACTCTTGAGCAATCAATGCAAAATATGTGAGGTATATCAAATCATTCATTTTCATGAAAAAACAATTTTGTGATAGAATACTTACTTTCCATTGCCTCCCCAAGGAGATGGTATCTGAGCGACTTTTGAAGCATTTTGCTAAAAGGGAAAGAAAGAGAGGGAAATAAGGACATCTATTTTGTGTTTATTAATTCAGAAACAGATGCAAGTGTGATTTAGAGTACATTAATACTGATTACAGCATTTTGGGATGCACAACTTGGATGTATGTGCACATCAGCACACCATGACGCACACTCGATGAAAATAGCTGGTTAGGATAATTGGTGGGCTCCAATCAGGACCATAAAAGTCACTTGATGAAAGATCTTATATACTAAAAGGCCCAGTGAAATCAGACTCAGTTCTCCGAAAGTGGTTTAATTATCCTCATCTGAAATTTATTCTGCAAAACAAGTCCTTCGGAGTACAAGTAAGATTTTCACCTTTAACTTTAGTTGCAACCTTTTCCCATGGGATGCAGATTTGTCTGTTATATTTGATATTTAAGGAAGATGTCAGAACCAAGCAATACATTCTTGTTTGCCTGTTTGTTTTCAGGAGTCATTGTGATTTGTGGTCTTTGTGTGCAAATTTCCATGGCTGATGGTTTTCCCTGTTTAGCAAAGAAATAGTCCAGGGCTGCATTGTAATGGAAGTTGGAACTCAAAACCTCATATTTCTCTGTCAGAATCTGGCTGATTTAAAGTACTGGCTTCCTGGGGATAGGGGCTATTGTTGTTTTGTTTGTTTGCTTCCAGTCACACTCTTGTGGTTGAGAGAAAATCCTGATATTCAGCACAACACCTCCATGAAAGGGCAGGGATCAAGCTCATAGTGACAGGAATCTGAGTCATGACAAGGCTGCTTTTGGCAGTTGGAAACAGGATGCCTTCTGGCCTCTAGTCCCGCCCCCTTTGCAAAAGGAGTATTTGAGAAGGAGAATCAGCATTTTCTAGAGTCCAGTAAGAATTCAGTGCTACCCTGGTATCACGGAAAGCTGGAAATTGTGTGCATTCTGTAGACCTGATTCTGTTTTAAACCTAAATGAGTACAACACATGTATAGGCAGATAGGTTACTTAGCATCTGTTTGATGTTTTCCAATTCCCTGACAGGACACAGAGGACAGATAGTAGGACAGTGGCTATCAGTGAGTTGACAAACCCAGCAGCATGAGAATTACTTGGAAACTTGCTAGAAAAGCACATTCTCAGGCCCCAGCCCAGGACACTTGTTTGAGAAATAGGACCTGACACTCTGGTTTTATGGGTCCTCTAGGAATTTTAGACGCCTGATGAAATTCAAACTCCACCTTTCTACAGTGCACTGTGAGAAGGTAGACATAAGAAAGGACTGGTGAGCTGTTGTATGAGATCTCTTTTCAACCACATGAGCACTTAGCTTCGCAGCATTATATTGGCACCACCTAGTAACTAGGGATCTTGCTCATGTTCCCAGTTAAGTACACACTATCATCATTCAGATATACACAGTACTCTAGTACTCACAGGATATTCGTGATGTAGTTCACTTTAGACAACCCAGATAACCTTTAGATGCAATGTGGCCAAGTGGTCTCATGTACTTGACAAAAAGTCATTTTCCTCTGAGGACAGGACAAAAAAAAAGAGCACTAACCCAGCTCAATTGTAAATTATGGCCAGTGTTAGTAGGCAAAAGTCATATTGTAGCACAGAGCAGCCAAGACTCATACCAGGCTCCTCCTTGGATTTTTATGTGGGTTCCCTCCCAAATACTGGCATTGCATTTTGTGATTATGTCTCTTGCTTCTTTGTAAATTAAAAACAAAACCAAAAAAAATAAAGCCACCCAACTCCAGTTTCCCACAGGATAACTTTGTCCATTTGTTTCCTATGGTAACCAACAAATTCAAATTCCTTAAATGGAAACCACAGCACTGCAAGATTTCCCATGAGTAAAACATCTTCACCTAGTTAGCTATGGTGACTTCTGTTCCTGCTGAAGGATTTCTTTGCTGTCCTTTTTAAACACCCAGACACAACTTATGGCCACCTTGATGGAAAACAGAATACATCTCCAATAACTGCAATCAAGAGACTGCCACAGGCCATTTGCACTGCTGTACCTTCTCACATGGGAATCAGAAGACTGTGGCCAGCTGAATTAAAAGAGGGTAGGCCTATGGCAGTATCTATTTTCTCTTAGTCATCTGATATCTGGTAACATGCCTAGCATGTTTCATTAAGGTTTTGATAACTCTTTACCTACCAATCATACAAAATAAGAATTACCTTAAAATATTCCATCAGTGATCTGGAGTACTTCATAGCATGATCCTTCTTCAGTTTAAACATCCTCAAATAGAGAAGTGACAAACATCGGTAGCTGGGTGAGGATAAAAGGATTAATTTAGCAACAATGCCACATGGAGTCTATACACTGTTAAATACACAAATCCTTATTTTGCAGTCACTTGTCTAATCTCATATTGAGGAATGTGTAAATAAAGACACTTAGCAAATGAAGGTGGAATTATTAAAATCCCATTTTGATAAGGGTATAAATTGAAATGCGTGTAGATGTATAGTCAGTGACTGAAGAAATCCATTAGTTATCCTTTAACACTTCACTGGAAAACCAGAATAATGATCTGGGGTAAGCTGCTTAAGTAGATGTGGAGTGTTCACATCCCACTGCAGCATTTCAGCAGTTTTCTTGTGACCTCCTTGGAACTCACCATAATACTGCTAGCTTTTTGTCCCCATCAGAAGCCAAGGGGCTTGCAAAGTTCTTCAGCCTCATCGCATACCTTTAGAGAAAAAAAAGAAATACCTAAATGGGATCTTGGTCCTTCAAAATTCTGATTGCCTAAATGACTTGCCTTCCTGCTTTTTCATTAAGGCAGAAGCCAGACTAGTCCTTTTCTGGAACCATATAGAAAAGGCTGATCCGCACAGCATAATGAGACTTTATGTGACATCAAGAACCTAACTCTACAAAAGCCAGTTTGATCATAGCTTCATGTTTCTGGCTATGTATAAATGCTGGCTGGCAAAATATTGTTTCTGTGAGCTTGCTAGGTAAACAGTATTATTGGTTTTATATGCAAGTTAGGCAAGTATGTTAGTCTCAGTTCACTTTATAACAGATGAGGCAATAATAAAGAAGTGTGTCTGACATCGGCTAAGGAGCCCTCAATCAGGTAAAAACTCTTTTCTAATGGCTCAAGCTTTGTGCACGTTTTTTAAAAAAAAGTGCACACATGCATGCATATTTGGTGTGTGTGTGTTAAACAACTGATTACGTAGCATTTTAAAGCCTAAGCAACCCTAATTTATGGGACTTGTATATTTGCCTTTCCATTTTTTAATTGTCATTGTTCCATGCTGCAGTGATAAAAGACCAAGTAGTTCTCCTTTCTTTTTTATTTTTTCCTTCTAGTTGAGTACATCTCATTCTGAATGTTCAGACTTGAGAAATCAATTCATTGCGTAAAATCATTGTCTGAGCTTTAATACAATTTCACAGGTACTTATAGTAGAATAAGTAATTGAGTTCACTGTGGCAGAAAAATGAAGTACACGTGCAGGCTGTCTGGGCTAGTCCTCCTTTATGGAATGCAATAGAGAGCCTATCATGTCCTCTTACTTGCCACTTATAACAGCCTCTCCAGAACACCAGGAGCCCTGGATCATCCCCACTCAAGACTTTGTATTTCCTCAGCATTCTATCTGCACTGCTTTCATGAAAACTTCTCAAAATCTGTTGAGTGAACATTTTCAGCAGTGGGGATCGCATACTTGATGCAGGAGCTTTCTGTTGTTACAATGGCATAAAGTGGTATTTTTATATTGTAATATGTCTTACTTTCTTAGACAGTTGGATTACTGAAATGTCAGTCATTGTGGAATATTCCTGCTTTCACAAATACATTTCTATTGTAGATTACCAGGGTTCAGAACAACTCTAATTATTTGAAAGAAAATAAGCAGGAGTCTCCCTGTATAGCCAGCATATTGTTGGAAAGAGAGCAATAAAAATCTATTCCATATAATATTGTACTACTAAACTCTATATCCATATAGCAGTTATCCCCTAATTACAACCACATTTGAGAGTGACTTGATGGTGGATTTTCAATTGCTGAAATGGGCCTGAAGACCTAGTTCATTTCAACTCATTTTATTCCCAATAGAAATTCCTCTAATTAAAATATGCACATCACAGAAAATATGATAAATAAAGAGTATAGAGAATACAGAAATGAGTTCGTACAAAAATGGGGAAACTCTAAAAGGAATAACCCTTTGTGAATTCTAATGAAGTCCATGTATTATACCAATGACAGGGCCCTGGTTGTGATACTGAATTTCAGTTACAGAGGATGTTACCATTGGAGGAAATGTGGTGAAGGGTACATAAATTCTATGTATTAGTTCTTAAAATTGCACGTGAGTCTTTAGTAACCTCAAAATAAAATTTAAAATAGTGACATTAGAGAGAATGTCAATAAATTCTGTTAGCTGTCACCAAGATTCCACTAAAATATATTTCTGTTAGTACTAATATATCATGGAATGAGAAATTATAGCTTTTTTACAAGTAAGGAAAATATTTTTAGAATAATTATTTAATGATTTGCTTCAAGCTTTTACCACAGAATGAAATTTGGTGTCTGGCTTGTGAATTTTAATCATTGTTATTCTTAAATTTGAGGGTTTCTGCACAAGTTTATGTGCACCACATGCTGCATGCAAGAAGCCCACAGAGGCTGGAAGACAGTGTTGAAAGCTCTGGAACTGGAGCTATAGGCAACTCTGAGCCTCCCTGTGTGTGCTAGGAACAGAACCTGGGTCCTTTGCAAGAGTAGCAAGGGCCCTTAATTCTTGAACCATCTCTACAGCCCCTGTTTGTGTACTTTTAGAAGAGCAGTGATTTCACTAAAAAGTAATAAAGAAAAATTTGTAGAGAAGGAAAAGACCCACAATGTCACCCTTTCACAATTACAGCTACGATCTTATTTTCTTCCACTTTGTTTTAGAGGCACACACATTTTTCTCATATTGTAATTTATATATAATTATGCAGCATGATTTAAGTGTTGTGAAGTACCGGAGATCAACTCCGTGGCCTCCCACAGGATAGGAAAACATCTACCACTGAGCTCAGAGTTTTTCCCCCACATGATCGCATTGCTGTTTAGCCCCAAATAGACACACAGGGACTTACATTAATTATAAACTGTTTGGCTGATGGCTTAGGCTTCTTATTGACTGCTCTCTTAATTATTAACCCATTTCTATTAAACTGTGTATTTCCACATGCCCTTCTCTTACCGGAGAGTGCCCGGGCATCCTACCTTCCCAGTAGCTACATGGCATCTGCCTGGTAGCTACTCTCTGTGTACTCGCCCCAGAATTCTCCTTGTCTGGAAGAATTGCCTACACTTTCTGTCTGTCTACTGGCCAATCAGTGTTTTATTCATAAACCAATGAGAGAAACATATATACAGAAGGATATTCCCCATCACTGAGTCCTGGCTTTTACATTAATACGATTTCACATCTTCATGTCATTGTTTAGACTTCATCATTAATATGTGTCAATTGCTGCAAAACATTTTGAATGGTCTATGACAAAAATTAATTACTCTCCTATTACTACTTTTTTACTTCTAATTGAATGTTGTTACATGCATTCATATGGGTGTATCTATCTACCCATATATATGTGTATGTGTGTGTGTGTGTGTGTGTGTGTTCTACTCATACAGTTATGTTTTTCTTTTTTCCTTTGTTTTGCTGTTCCCCTGTTTTATTTAGTAGACTGAAACTTTTAGATCAAAATAAACTGAACAGTATCCCAATAGTTCTTTTAACTTTACTGGAGTTGCCTCCTTGTCTTGTTTGAAGCTATGGAGTATTTGGAGGAGGGTAGGGCCCGTTTGATTGTTTTGTACAAAAAAGGGAAAGTATAATAATTCTGCATTGTGAAAATGCCCTTAAGGAAATTCATGTTTTCAGAAGTTGAAATCCTATGTCCAGAGATATAAATGTGTTTCTGTTGCTTTTTTTATATAATTCCAAATTGTTTGCAATTTTCAATGATGAATTTCTATTCTTTTCAGCAGTAGAGGAGTGGCCTACAATATGATTTTCTTTTTCTAAAATGAGATGTATTAACAATGTAATATTTTCTTGCTAACATAGTGCAGTTTATTTGAATTTGCATATTTACATGATTCAAGGAACACAAATTGTTTGTTCATTGTTCATTCACTTTTGCCAATAATTTTGTATTATACTTTTCCCAGAATTCTTCTCTTATATAACTTCAAAAATTATAGGTATTTTGACTAATAAATCAATTTCTCCTTGAAAGCTACCAAAAGCTTGTGGCACTGATTGTTTCCACAATGAATAAAATAAGCTGAAGATGAATATTTTCCTTTTTCTGGTTCCTATGTCTCGGCATAGCTCCAAGACAAACATTTTGAGTGAGAGTATGGGCAAGACTATATCTTTCCTTGGAATCAACCTTTGTTTATTACTCTAAAATTTGTGATAGTAATATATGAAGAGAATAGTGGGTAAAGGGAGAGTAGTGGGAACAAGAGAAGGTAAGGGAGGAATACATGATGTACATTTTCTTCCATGTACAGAAATTAGATTTAATTGTAAACAAATTAATTACAAATATGTGTTTTGTTTATATATTTTATGTTACATAACATGAAAGGTGAAAGAAAATTATTTTAGAAGAGGAAAGGAACCAGACAGAAGGGGAAGGGAAAGGGGAAGGAGGCAGGGGCAATATGAGCAAGGTACCACAAGATCTATATGAAAATATAGTGAAATGTCTTACTTCATACACTTAAAAAATCATGGAGGGCCTTACCCTCCCTGTGGAATGGAGTGGGGATTGGGTGGGGGGCTGGGCGTACTAGTGGAGAGGGGCAGGCATGGAGAGGAGGGAGAGGGAGCTGGGACTGACATGGGAAGCAAGCATGTTTCTATTTATCATATATTTAAATATATAATTAAAAAGTGTTTACAAATTAAAAAAATTCCGTTCTGTCGTTTTTATAATAGTTTTCTCTTTTTGCTTTTTAGAATACTTTCTTTGGGAAATTCTCAGTGTAAGTCTGGTCAACGCTTGTTTGAAGGCTTCGTACAAATATCTGAAGCTATTTAACAGTTTATGTAGAAAAAAGCAAGATAGTAAAAGGCAAGCCTTGCATTGCTATGAAATGGAGCTTACAGGAAGAGAATATAAGAATCTCTCAGATAAAGAATTGCTTGCTCAGCTTAAACTAATATGGTGGTTGGTGGATATTGCTCAGTGGCAGAGTACTTACACAGTCAGAACACGTGTTTAGGTATCATATTCAATATAAAAATGATCCTTTTGCCCATGCAATGAACTGTGGTACATGTCTACTATTTAGGGAGAGGTTAATTTCCTTTCCTAAGATTTTCAAGTCACTGGAAAAATTAGTGAGTATTTCTTCCTCTAACTCCTTTTTCTTTAATGTTTGATTTCCAATACATTCCCAATACATACCAAGACATCAGAAATTTTCATTAAAATATGAATACAATAATATACACAGTTAATATATTCTCCACCACTATCTTCATTTATTATTGACCTTCAGTCCTGCCAACACTGTATCTGAATTTCTTATTCCATATGCAAAAAATTCTGTGGTAGACTTATGACCTTAAATACTGACTTTTTGCACATATGCAATAGTCCATGTTTAGAGACCAAAAGACAACTTGTATAATGGAATTCTTCCCTTTCTGGGTGTGGGCTCTTAGGACCAAACTCACATTGTCATTTTCAGCAGCAATCACCTTTAACCTACAGAGATATCTTGCCAGCCCCTCCTTCCTTTTATAATAACCCAAACAGAAGGCCTTAGAAAATATGGCTCTTAATAGAAATCTGGAGAACACAAGTTTGTTCTGAAAAGGCAAGTTAATGCCACATGATAAAATGATTATACTTTACTTTCACCTGCGACATCTTAATTTCCATTTAATGAATATTACAAATTATCAGGCTCACATTATAACCTCTGAAGGGGATAATTTATAAAACACTGTCCATCAATTATAAATATTCTATGGCATTAATAAAATGGCAGGAACTAATTGCAGTGACTTTTGGACACATTAATTGTGGAAATGATATTTAATCAAAAAACATTAACAGTTTCTTACTCTGCATAAAATTACTTTTACAATATAACTCTAGGAAAGCCATTTACCGGAGGAGCTCCACAGTCTCTGAATACATGGTATATGGGGACTTTGCTTCCAGAGGATCACGTTCCATGGCATTGCCACATTCAGTGAAGGAGAGGGCTGCATCAGCATAATTCACGGCTTTGCCAAATTTCTCAAACTGAAACAGGAAAATGACTGTCAACATGATAGTCTTTCTTTAACTTCATATAAAGGAATAATTCACAACATTGAGTATTTGTCCTCATTCTTCGGGAAACACTTAACATTCAATAGAGGTACTTTGAGTGCTTACCACTGGGGATAGGAGGCACTTAAGAAGATACAGACTAGAGATACTTCTAAGCATCATAAAATGCAAGGGGTACCTCTACAATGGAGAACGTGATGTTCTAAACATTCAGCTGAGAAACCCTGATATGGGGAGATGACAGTGTGCAAATTTGTATTAATTATGAAGGAACTGGTTTAATGCTCTATTGTACTGACCTTGTGACTAGCTGAGAAAAAGGAAAATGCAGCCAAGGCATCAAAATGGATTGTGGCACCATTGTTGACCAACCAGGATCTAAATTAATACCTTGACTAGCTTCTAATCACAAAAATGCACTAAACTGAACACAGATCAAAGTGTCATTTAGTGAGCTCTTGCAACCGATCTCTGTTTCTGTTATCTTCACAGTCTGCTTCTTGTTTTAGAATGTCATGATAACATCAACCTAATCCCAAGGTGGACAGTAACAGATTGCAAAATAAGAAGCTCAAGGATGATCATTTTTATTGGAAATGATGGGTTGAAATAGTGTCAAAAAACCAAAAATACAGCACTGTTAAATATTTTAATTTAGTAAAATTTTATTGCAAGTTTTTAGCCTAGATAATGGTCATGATTAAACTGGCATAGCCATATTGATTTCTTTTTCATAATGAATATTATATATGACACATTTTAGTGAGCATTTCAACAGGGCTTTATAGTTTCAATTTTTGATAGTTGCATGTAATTATTCTACTAATGTAGAACTTTATGTAAAAGAACCAGTACAATGAAGATTTAACTATTTTAATTTTTGCATGTCTTTTATTGAAATACTGTGTATGGAATTCTGAAGATTACAACTGTCAAAAGGGTAGAGTAGCTCTCTCTGGAAAAGGGTTAAATACAATTATACACTTATTAAGAAATTCTGTGCTTTATTTCTGTAAGCTGATGTGCAGAAATACTGCTTTCCATTAATTCAACTTTCTGTTATAGAAACCTAGGTGTATGCATGCAAGCTACTTTCTTTCTATTTTGTCTTACTATATTATTCCCATATATCTTCAGAGTTCAACTAGCTTTCCCCTTTGGGAATTTGTATATTTTGTTTTTCAGGTGAATTTTCATTCACAACTCATAGCTGAATGGATAATTAAAGATTATCAAGACTCAACCTTATTCCCAAAGGAGAAAATACTGAGGTTCAGAAAGAAAATTATATAGCCATTGTGCCTCACTTTCTCCATTCTCAAATTGAAATGTTTGAACTAGAAACTTGTTTCTAACCAAAAGATAGATTAAAATCTCAAGGAAAATATCATTCTGATTGTGTCTCAACCTTTTCGCCTATGATCACACTCCTCGAAAGAAATATCTGAAGGCATTTTATATACTACCAATGAAGTTTTAATAACAGAAAACACTGAGTATCTCTTTATGTGATTGTTTTAAGGGCCCCAGATCTAGATAGTAGCTAATAACTTTCCACTTTAAGAATAAATTTTTGTCCCCATGGAACCAATGTCTTCACAATTGTCAGTGATATAATTCTTTAATCATAATTTTGGGGATCTCCGTAGGTTTGAATTTTCTTAGTTCTTCAAATGGTCTCACATGTGCATCCTAGTCTCTTTATCATCCCATGTGATACCTTGTCAAAGGGACATTCATATACTTCCACATTTCAGAATTGACACCATTTGGAGAAACCATTAGTGTTCCAGACAGCATCACTGTCACCCATTAGTTTTTAAATTGTTGGCCATCATCCAGTGACCACAGACAAAATCTACCCAGGTCTTTTCAGTGGCATCCTCAAGCCTACCTTGTTATTTTTGTCTACAGTGTTGTGGGAAAATAGTTTCCAGGGAAATGTTCATAATTCATCTAAAGGTTAGCTGTAGAAAATAGCTAGACAATTTAAACAGCAGTGATAAATGACAAAAAATAGGGAAATGGGCAAAGACAGTTGATGTTAGCCATGCATTAGTTATAATGTAGAGCTTGATATGATGTTTCATCACTGTTTATGTAGTGTCAACTGAAGCTAAAGCCCAAAAGGATACAATGTAGTGCTTGAGGATAGTATTGTTTTCCTCATAATGTTATTGAACTGATAATCACAATTGTTCTGAGATACAGTAACGATGAGGAGCCCAAAGCTAAGACTGTCTCTAGGATAATGGTTCTCAAATGGTTACATTTGGAAGACAGTTGGGGAGCTTTAGTTATTATGGCAGCGTCTCAGTCCTATAAACTCTCAGTCCTATAAAGTCTTATTTTATTGTTTTGGGATGTAGCCTGAGCAACTGATATGGTTGCCACATGTGGTTGAGACCCCCTGTTAGGAAGATCAATTAGGATAAAGGGTTCAACATAGTGAACTCATCACTAGTTTAGGTCACCTATGACCCTGAGAGATAGCTAGAACTTATTTCTTGAGAAATCAAGATGACAGCATTGTCATCCTCTGATCAGAAAAGAAAAGCCTGACCATGAACCTTATTGTCATAACATGGAACATACTGTATCAATAATATAAGCTTTGTATGTAGCTTACATTCCCTTAAATCAAAGTTTGAGACCCAATAAGTGTGACTCAACATCTTCCGTGTTTCCACCCCAGATTTGGCTTACTGGATCCAATAGAAGCTCCCATCATATTCAGAGAATGTTGAAAAGTGATTTTAATTCACAAAAAAAGACAACGACAAGGGTACATGTGAGTGAGCTTCTAAAGTTGGTCCAAAGGAAGAAAAATTCATAAAGTAATAATAACATGAAAACCAAAGAACATTGGGGATCATAGTACTACAGAATTCACAAGCTCTTTTATCTCTATGTAAGAGCAGCAATGCTTTATAAAGGTCTAGGTGATGTTACTTCAAGTTTTGGAAATGCATTCCTTGTTTTTGTTTAAAATATCATCATTTATTATGCATTCCTTATTTTTATTTAAAATATCATGCTTTAGTAGGGTGAAGCAATGAGAAGTAGGAAACCTACCAGTGCATCGGCTTTGTGTTTCAGCTTCTTAGCCTCTTGCATGTAAAAATCAGCATTGTGAACACTAAACAAACAAAAGAAGTTCTTTTACAAACCAGTGGTTTATCTTTTCATTTAGAAACTGAATAGTACAAATATTTTGGTCTATTAATTCATTCCTACACGGTACTTGACAAAGGCATACTAATATTGTCACTTATATATAATAATGATACCATCCTTGAAATGACACTATAACTGGGCTCTGAAGTGCAGGATGACCTATTAGGACAGAAACCTATATCCTCTAACTCCAGTTGTTAGAGTTGCCCAAACAGGCCATGTAAAACCTGGCTATAAATCCCTCTATATAACTGAAGTCATGAATAAGAATCAACAAAAATAGCCTAGAGGAAAGATTCCACCTTGGGAAACAGTAACAAAGGTCCAGGATTAAAGTGGTCTAAAGATACTTCTTATTGGTGATAGAGGTATGTGTGTGGAAGGGGTTTTCATTTAACATTATAGGAGCTGATATGAACTTCTTATATGGGGTGACACATGCATGGTACTAGAAAATGTACACTGTTCCCATCCCCAATCTCCACTACAAACTAGGTCTGCAATAATCTGAGAGCAACATACGAGTCATCAAAAGTGAGCTTGGGTCTCCGGACATTGGTGCTGCTGCTGGACAGGAGGGGCAGGGCTGCCCAGGATGTCATCTCCAGGTGACTGCTATCCATTAGGCCAGTAGTGATTGTAGAGGTGATGGTGGAAATAGTAGTGGTGGTGGTTGTGGTGGTGGCCGTGGCAGTGGTAGTGGCAGTAGCTGTGACAGTGGCAGTGACAATAGCAGTAGCAGTGACAGTGGCAGTGGCAATAGCTGTATTGGTGATAGTAATGGTGGCAGAGGCAGCCTTTTTTGGAGCATCTCCCTCCTGGAAAAAAGGAAGATAAATAGCTTCCATTATATCTGGCTTTCTTAAACCATTCCTTTAAAATGTCAGGCACAGAAGAAAACACAGCAAGGAAAATGGAAGAATATACTCAGTGTGAGGATGGATAGGTGATCCTGCATATTTTATGAATTTTGGGGATCATCAGCTTTTATTCTTTGATGACACTAAACAGGAAACTAGCCAGGTGTTAGGATTACATAGTCCCATGGTCATATTAAGAGAAATGGCAAGGGTTTAAATATAGAAGGAAATCAGAAATTGGAGGGGAAGGAATGATCGAGGAGCAAAGAAAGAAGTTGGAGAAAGAGTGAGAAGTGGTAGGGAAGGAGAGAAAAATATCAAAGATTTGGCACTATTCTGAAACAATCAGTGTCATGACTGACTGGAAGCAGACATACTTTCTTTCCTCATAAAGTCATGACTACTATCTGACAAAGTGAATGCCTTGGTATTTTGAAGCCTTGGGAGAGTAAAACCTCATTTGCATCAGGTCAATTATCAAGTGAATAAGAGACTTCTGAGGGCTTTGCTTTGAACTGGTATGGCTGAAGTAAAGATGCAATCCAGAGGAAAGCATGTGTTGTGAAAAGGATCTATGTGCTTGCACTGTGTCGCAAGACTGCCTGTCATGTTCTTGTGCCAGATTGCTTTTCCCCACCTGGCAACTGTGGACAATCCTGACTTTTCTATCTCTGCTAATAATTTCCATGGTGACACTTATTCCTTATATCCTTACTAGTTTCTGCCTCCGTAAGAATTCTGTGCCTCAAGTTTTGTCCCTCAGTTAACTTCTTTCTTGATCATATTTGTCAAAGTTGCATGTGTTGACGCAGATTCAGTGATGAACAGATGATTCCAAAATGGAAACATCAATCTTACCCTTCTGAATTTGCAGTGACCAGTTCTGAACAGGTCTACCAAGATGGCTCAAATTTCTCTCAGAAAATTGGTAGGAAAACAATTATTTTTATTTGACAGAAGAATGGTGTTCCATCTCATCACTTAGAAGCTTGCAATTCAGTTTGCCAGTTCCTGTGGTTATCCTCATCTTAGCGTTATTACAACAGTCAGGGAGGGATAAATGCCCCCTCCAGTAGCAAAATGGCATCGTGCTTGTAGTCAGATGAACTTTCATGTCCCTTGTACCATTCGCAGACCTGTCTCTCTTCCTTTTAAGATACAATCACCAGCCATTTTATTTTCTCCTTTTTACACAAGTGTGTCTCATTTGTCACTGCAGATTAAAAGCTGCATCTGGTTTATGACTCTGCCCTTTCACCCAGTGCAATTAGAGTTTGCTGAGTGTGTCCAGGCATGTAGGAATGCACACTTGCTGTAGTGAAAGAATTCACTTTAAAGATAAAAAACTAAGTGTGGTAGTCCTTAAATCCATGAAAAATTGATCTTTTCCACTTGATCCTTGACCTTCATGGCTATAAGATAATTCTTACTACCTAGGCCACTTTGAGACAAATGTAAAGAAACAATATATGTTTGTAAATTATTCTGATGTATATAGCAAAATAAAGGCCATCATAGATTGCATGTAGGCCAGACATGTACAGCTATAGTAGAGTTCTATACCAGCTCGATGTCTACACTGTCTGAGTCAGACTTACACAGATCAAACAGCAGGGTTAACTTAGGACAATGTCAAATGTTTCTATGACCAAAATATGTGACATGAACCTTGAAACACCACATATACCGTGCATACGGCATTGATGATAGTACTAAAACTTCTAACTGGAAAAGATTAGATAGTCATGATTGGGAAAAGTATATAAAAATGAAATCTGCCTACAAATTCATTCATTGTAAGAACTCAGAGATGTGTCAAACAACAAAAAAGAATGATGCATTTCCAGGAGAAAATATACTGATATTTATAATATTTCTGCAGTAATTTTTATCTCTTGTGTATCTGACTGTACCTTCTTGAAGCATTACCTTTTTCATAATAAAACATAGAATACTTAAAGTAGTTTAACTATCAACATTATGGATTATTTTCAACTGAAGGGATGGGTAATTTGATGATTCTTTATCTTATGTGAATACACACACACACACACGTGCATGCACACATTTGCAAATATGGAAAATGTCAATTTCACACTACTAGAAAATTTTATATTCGTAATGATATTTAGCTAGATAAGTATGCCATCTCAGTCATCTTAGATATCTTAGATAAGGGAGGCTTTTATATTGGGGTCTTCAAAGCTAAGAGTCCTCATTGCCTTTTATGAGTTATTAAATGGACTACAGAGCTCAGGTCAGAAAAAGTTATACCAGACATCTAAGTTACTCACTTTTATTCATTTTTCATATTTAAAGTAGAGTAGATACATGTGGGTGACATATGTCTGCATTTATTGATATATGCATATATGTATTTATATCTATATTCAAGGGTAAAAATATACTTGTCATTAACATTCTTTATTGCTTAAAATTAACATATTTTAATTCTTTCATAGTTTCAATAGTTCACATTCCTATACCTGAAAAATAAAGTGACATTGTGTACAGATATTGAAATGATGCCATTCAATGATCTATGCTAATCAAGCTGCAATGCACCAAATATTGTGCCTTTTAGAAATAGATTCACCTTTGAAAATCAATACCATTTAACCATGGTTTATCCAAGAACTCACATTTGCAAATCTAAGTGATAGAAAGGAACAAATTGGAGTTCTAATTCCGGTTTAGTGACCTTGGGTGACCTTGATTCAATTTATTTCTTTCATCCACTAGAAGATCAGTGCCTTCCATGTGGTAGTTTCTGTGGTAAGAATTAAGGCAGTGCCTTTCTCACCCTTAAGATACAGCAAAATTGAACCAGAGGGCACTGTATTATTATAATAAAATAATAGTATTTAATAATAATATTGACATTAAAATAATGGAGAGTTTGAGTATTTGTATACAAAGACACACTTGGCTTTTCTGTGCCTTTCACACCCTTGTAACATTCTAGCTAAAGTCATGATGGTTGAGCTGTATTACCTTCTTTTACTTGACATAGTATTTCCTCTAAAACACTTACATTTATGCTTATCCCTTTGAAAGTAGCACAGAATTTGCCTTCGCTTCTCTTAGGCTTGGTAGATGTGAGTTGTCCTGCCATGGAGATGTTTTTGTCTTGACTGAAGAGCCCATTGTTGCCACTGACATTTCTGCGCCGTGGAGGGTCCTCTGGGAGTGGGGAAAGTGCAGGAGGAAATAGCTTTTCTTCTTTTTTCCTGTTTCCTCTCCTGGATGAATTTCTGTGGAAATAAAAAGTGTAGGGTGCCATAAAATCTCATCTTACTTTATTTGGAAATTCTGTCACTATGCTGCTATTTACAGTTAAAGTGATCTGTAACTTGATGATTCTTTACCTCATGTGAACATATATCTATAAACAGAAAAATACAGAATTAGAAAGAATCTCACTACATATATGTGAAGATATATGCATATGTATATACACAAGATTCGTCATGTCTTTTAAGTATTGCCCCATGACCAATGTAGAAATTTAATGTGTGCTACAGTGAGATATCTAAAATCCTATCAAGATTATTATCAATTAGATTTTGTTTTATTTTTAAATTTAAATTAGAAACAAGGTTGCTTCACATGTCAATTCCAGGTCCCTCTCCTTTTCCCTGCCCTCCTCCTGCGCCCTCCCACCAACCCCCTAATATCCCCTCATTTCCCCAGGGAGGGTGAGGCCCTTCATGGGGGTGTCCATAGTCTGTCATTTCATCCAGGGCAGGGCCTAGACCCTCCCCCAAGAGTCCAGGGTGAGAGTGAATCTCTCATTGTTGGATGGGAGTCCATTTGTATACCTGGGATAAATACTGATCTACTACCCAAGGCTCAATAGATTACCTAGGCCTCCTCACTGACACCCACATTCAGGGGGTCTTGATCAATCCTATGCTGGATTCCCAGGCATCAGTCTGGGATTCAAGAACTTTTTTTTATAGAAAATGCAATGTATACTTCAACCCCTTTATTTTTTTCAGGATACTTTCTACTAAGACTTAACCAAACAATCCAGCAATAAATGGCACAAAAAACAATATATTTCATATTTTAAGAGATATAGTATACTTATACAATAAGAAATAAATTATACACTAATGACTAGTGTAAAAACATTGTAAATTAGCTATAAAAATGCTGTATACCAATGCTAAGGGAATGAACATCCACTCACCTTAAATTGTTAAATTGAAGTACTTCAAACACTCGACTTAAAATATTCTTTGGTGAAATCGACAAGAGACATCTACAATACTACAAGTACCCCTGTACTTTTGAAGTGATTTATCATTCTATTAAATGGGACCATCAAACAAGCTGAGACTTCAAATAAAACAGAACAACTAAAATCTTATGCTAACTGGTTTACATGGTAATTGGGTCATAGATTTTCATTTTAGTTACTGTCTTGGACTAATCAATGAAGATTACTTGAATTTTAATCTTTTCTTAGACAACTAGTATTGCACTGTGCAGCCATTTACATTTTATGATTATTGACTATAATTTTCAATAGCAAATCAAGCAAACAAGAATTTATGTTTTCTTCTTGGTCAATTTCAGTAGTGCCTAGATATATAGATTTGCTATATCTCAGAGCAACAAATCAAGGATGAACAAGCATTCAGGTAGTCTGATTTCCTGAAGGAAAAATAAGTGCAAGCTTCTTTATTCCCTTTTACGGTGTCAAAGGATTTGGCAATTATAATAACACATGCCCTCTTCCTCATCTTTTGTCTCATAAATGTATCTCTATTTTATTGCCAAGTAGTGAACCTTTTAAACCATGAAAATGTTTTTTCTATCATCTTAAATGACTAAAATTAATATAAAATGTTTCTAATTATTTTTAAAATTTCTTTGAAATGTCAGCCATTTTAAGCACAGTTGTGATGACAGATAAAATGATAGTGAACAAATGGATCAAGATTTTTTAGATTTCTTTTATGTGTTCTTCCTGTTTACATATATGTGTACTGATGCCTGTGGTGGTCAGAAGAGGGTGTTGGAGTACCTAGAACTAGAGGTACAGAGTTTGTGAGTCACCATGTGGATGCTGGGAACCAAACCATATCTAGATCCTCTCCAAGAGCAACAAGTGTTCTGGATCACTTGGTAACCTCTCTAGCTGCTGATCAAAAGATTCTTATCCATGAATATATTCTACCAACAATAGAACACATAAAGTATAATATCTGCAGTGGTACTTGAACTTTGGAGAGATGTGTGTATGTATGTGTTTATGTACACACACACACACACACACACACACACACACACACACAAAACTAAACCGATGCTGTGACCTCTATAGGAGGTAATTCATTATTTGTAACCAGACCCCCTCCACTTGAGTTGGCTGAGAAGGTAGTGGGGGGTTTCAAGTGAGAAGCTGTTTCTGAGAGGTAATTGATCTTAAATTGAATGTCAGTACGTTCCTATCTGCTACTGACCTAATAAATGGAGAAACAGTCCATTCTGGGAGAAACAGTCCATTCTGTGCAGTAGGTATCAGTGTTTTAGTATCCCTTTCATCTACCCAGTAGCAAACTAGAATTGTTCGATATTTAATAATCTCATTGACAAAAGACATCCACGGGTCTTTTACTAAGAATGCTCACTGATGGTTTCCAACCACAAAAATGTTTTTTAAAATATTTTTGTCCTTCTTTAAATAGGATAGAAATGAAGAAAGAGTATTACCATGGTTTTATCAAACTATAAATGTGGTGAGATATTCAAAAGAATAATCACTGGGTTTATGGGATAACTCCAGTTGTCATAATCAGATATAGCATCTTTTATGGGTTTAGCATGTTCATTTAGAAAAGTGAATATTTTCCTCTTAGGAGTTTCTAAGGATCTAGAGTGAAGGGTTAAAGAATAGAGGAACAAATAAAGCTTGCAAGAGAGTTCCCAAAAGAATACCCTTAAGATACCAATCTGCCTCATCCTTCCTCAATTTCTAGGACTTGATGCTGTTGAAAAACGTATGAACCCGTTGAAGGCCCTGTCTGAATGATAAACACTCCTCCCATGAAAATAATAATTTCATATTTACTATAAAAACAAAGTGCATACAAAGCCTGTGTTGTAAAAATACCATTTCTTAATGGTGAGTTACTTTACCCTTGATAGTGCCTCTTCCATAAAACAGAGTAACAACTCATAGGTAGCTTAGTAATGTTGCTTAGTAAGGCATTGCAGGCATGGCAATTTTTCACTGCCCTGACCTCTGTCTTTTATCCGTAGGTAGTCTGAACTGAGTCCAGCCTTGGAACTGAGGAAGTATTGCACCACCACTATGCCATGCTAACCTGGAAGAAAGACTAGGATGATTATATTTGACCATCAAGATCCATGCTTCCTCATATTCCTGGTCCATCCTGAGCAAAACAGTTTCAGGTTGCTTCACTGGGTTTCCCTTTTTGAGAACTATGTTAAGCATGTTGTAGAGACAGAGTCTACCAGAGAGTACATATACATGCTAAAAATAGTAACTGAGTTTCAGAATGAAGAACAGGCATTGTAGGAATCAAATGTTATTATTTAGAATAAATTTCATAAAAGGGAGTCTGTTTCTGCCTTTCATTTCAAAACAAGATGCCAGACCCATGCAAGCTAATATCTCATCTGTGGCAGACTGATGCTGAGTCACTGATGTTAAACAGTAATCTGTGAGATCAATTGTTAGCAGCAGTTGTCCAGATTGCCTCTCTGCTTTGGACTGCTAATAGACTCCAAAACTGAGCTTTGATGGGAGTAATCTCCAATGTTGAATGAATTTATTGCAATAATTACACAGACAGAATGTCTCGAGTAGCTGACATGATTGTTAGTTAAGCGATATTTATAAAACAGAAAGAACTCAGTCACAATGCTGGCTAGACACAGAGTGTTAACCTTCTCTGGAGAAGGGTGATATCCTTTGACTGGAGAAAGGATAATGGGCCCTCCTGCTTGATCTTGGAAATTTGCCAAAGAGAAAGAAGGAAGAGGAGAGGCCAGTTGGTTAGAATCAACATACCCATCTCTACCAGTGTTTTCTTAACTCAGAACTGCCCTCCGTGTGGGTAGAGCACAATTTCCCAAGCGCATCGTTCTCCTGGACTCTGTGGAGTCAGGATGAATTTACTGGTCTTCTAGCTTTATATTACCATTAGGAAATGGCATTCAAAGTAGCACCTTATCAAGATCAAGGGAAATTGTTTAGTCACCATCACAACTGAACCCTGGCCAAAAGCAGATTGATCTCATAAAGGTATGTGCTTACCTGATATCTTCTCTTTTTAATTCACTTTTTAAAAATTTTTTTGTTTGGTGCAAAATCACTCTTGATTCTAGGAAGACATTCTACTGGGACAAGAAGTCCTCAATATTGTTCAAACATGTCTTTTTTTTTTTAGTCAAAACCCTCATACAAGGGCCATTACACTGCAACACAGAAAACTTACTCTCTAGCGTTGGGAGGCTTATGGGGTGGGGCTGGAGAAATGCAAGGAGGAAGTAAGCAGAGAGTAGTGTTGTCCTCCAGGCGTTGCTTCTTCTCAGGGATTTTCTCTGCAGTTTCTGCTGGCTTTTACAGGGGAAAAATACATAGAGCTTGAAATATACCACAAATCCAGACAAGCATGTTTCACACATTAAAAACTGAACAAGACAGTTTGCTTCTATATTAACTTCTAGATTAGGTTGAGGAGTCAAATTTGTGCTTTTGATCAGACAGAAAAGCAATCACCTTCCTTAGTCTAGTCCTATGAAGTTGACATATGGTAGGATTAAACTTCAATGTAAATCTCTGACTAACAATTGTGTAGCACAAGAGCCTCAAAATGAAAGTGAAGAAATGTACCATTTTTGCACACTTCTCTCATCCACAGTGACTTTACAAAGTGATGGGAAATGAACATTGCAATCTCAATATGGTACAAAAACTGTTTAAATAGCATGGAGCTTGTGGGTGAGCTATAAAATTCTCTATAAAATCAACAATATGCAAGGGAATGGACCATGTATAAAACGTGTGTTTCCTTCTTAAATGTGGTCATTGCAAAGACACATTTTCATTCTACTGTTGCCATCAATAAGAGAAAAGAAAGAGGGGCGGGTTATGGGTCCCACACTTCCTATTCAGTGTTCTGGAATCCTTTCAATGGTTAGATTCATGTAAGACTCACTAAGGAGTATTTGGGATTCTCTGACCTGAAAGCCTCTCTTCAGGACTCACCTGAATCCTAGAATTGCTCTGCCCCCGGAAATCTCCTTTAGGCAGTCAATCTCTCCAGTTTCCCAAACTACAGCATTCTCATGACTCCTATTGTTTAATTTCCCAGTACCCTCCTGTCTTCTTGTGTTCCCTGGCACCTGGGAAGGACCTGGTTCTTAGCATTCCCCTGTGTCCTAGTCTTTTAGAGGTTTTCATTCTCACAGTATTTGACAGTCTCACAGTGTTCCCTAGGCTTTAATGGTTCCCAGTCCCCTAGCACTCCAAGTCTCCTATTACCCAGGTATCCACTAGGTCATTCTCCTAACACTGCCCAGTTTCCTAGTAATAGTTTGTATCCTAGTGGTCCTTAGTCTACTCTCTTAGTGCACCAAGTCTTGTCTCCTAATACTTGCTTCTAGTCTCCTAGGAACTTCCTGCATCCTGGTGCTTCCCATACTCCTAGAATTGCTTAATCTGTCAGAGTTTTAGCATCTCTTACCACTCCATTATCTCTTAGTACTTCACAGCTTAATACTGCCCAGTCTTCTGCTTCTGACTCTTCTAGTGTTCCCCAATCTCCTAATACTTGCTGTGGCTTAGGGACCCTCTCTCCTAGATGTCCCTAGTCTACAAGCATTGCAAAAACTTTTAGCACTGTATCTCTTTGTACACCCCACTTTCCAAGTTCTTGTCTCTAACCTATACCTACATCCCTAGTGTTTCCTCCTTTCCCAGCATGTAAATCTCCTAGAGTAACTCTGTATGCTAGCACACCCCCATGTCATAGCATTTGCCTGCCTTCTAGTACTCTGCAGTCTGTCACTGTTCATTAGAATAGTGCATCCCAGTGGAATAGTGGGTCTCATTGTCCAAATATGTTTTGGTCTAGTAACACTCAATACTCCCCAGTATTTTGTTTTTGCCTATCCCCCAGTCATAGATCTCTCTGCTAGAGATCTTTGACTTACAGACTGTACAAATACCTAGTCTCCAGGCATATTCTTTCAGCCAAGCACAGTAACCTCTTAATGTGCTCCAGTATACAGCTGCTCTGTAGTTTACTCTTTGCTAGGATCAAAGTGCTTATAGTCTAGAGTTTGACCCTAGACACCTGGTGTTCCCAGTAACCCAGGCTTCATGTCTCTTAGCACTCCCTAAAAATGAGTACTCTCCTGTTTCTGAGCCTTCCCTGTCTCTAAGCACTCACTGTCCCTGAGCATTCTCTGGTCTTTTAGTTCTCTACCTTCTCTGAGTACTGCACTGTCCCCTAACATTGTCCTGTCTGAGCACTACTCTGTGTCCTAGCACTGCCCTGCTTGTGAGTACTCCCATGTGTCATAGTACTCCCTTTTCTGAGTACTATCCCTTTCTTTTCTTTGATTGCTTCCTGACTCCTAGCACTCCCTGGGTCTTCTGACTCTTATGTACACTATCAATCTTCAGTGTTCTACAGATCCTTGGTCTCCTTATTCTCTTTTCCTTGTACTTACCTATCTGCTAGTGTGGTCTGTTTCATACAGTTCCTCTGTGTTCTAGAGCTTTAGTGCCTTAAAGTTTGCCATTTCTCTGGAACTTGCCAATATTCTACCACATCTCAGGGTCTTGCTGCTATTTTCTAGTACCCCTCAGTTTCACATCCATATGTAAAGTACAAGTGATGCCTTACCCCCTAGTGTTCCTCAAATCTAGTATTGCCTGCGTCCCAGTGTTCAGTGGTCTTCTAAATACCATACTGTCTTCATGCTCCCCAGAGTCATAGTGCTCCTTTGTCTCTAGCATTCTATAGTCTCCTATTAGACCTTTGCCTCTGAGTACTTTCCTGTCTCTAGTGTTCCCCAGTGTTCTAAGGATTCATTTCCCTCTGTGGTCACACTCATTCTCTTAAAACTCCATCTTTACCTAGCAGTTCACTTTCTTCAGCACTTTTCAGTCTACCCATGATTCCAGGTTCTTTTCTTCTATATGTCCGCTGAGTCCTAATGCTCCTTGTTCTCATACCCCTCTCTTCTGATATTTACTAGGTTTTAGTCACCTCCAGTCTCTTCTACTTTTTAGCATCCTAATTGCAAGGGAATAAATACTCTTAGAGCACCCCATTTAATAAGTCACTCTTACCTACAGGTGATCTCTTCTTCACTAAACTGCATGAACAATGGTCATATTCAAGAGACTGTCTCCCAGAAACAGAGGGAATAGACAAAGGGTTAGGAGTTGTATCTCTGCTAACTGTGCTGCTTTGGGGAACACTATTAGAAAAACACCACTACAAGAAGGTGTGGTTCTAAAAAATTAACCAACTATACAGGTAAATAAGAAAGAGTATATTAGCTATAAACTCATATGTCTAGACATATTCTGTTTTTTCATTGGTAAAAGTCACTCTGGATTTCCACTTCTGTTGACCCTATGTGCTCTAGAATTGATACTGATACCAAAACATGTTTAGGTGAGATTTCCACAGCCTAATTCTTCCAAATAGGTCAGTAATCCCAGAAGGTTTTCTAAAACCTTTGTGTGCTGCATGCTAGTATACCCCAGAATAGGTGACCTGTGAGTGCATTAATATATGTCCAGAGAAATGGACAAATGTAGAAGATTCACTTGACCATTGTGGGCAGATAGGCACCCTGCTGACACTAAAGTGGGAAACTGTAAGAGATTAATAGGAGTCACTTGCAATTGGAGCAACTTAAGGAGCTGACTCCTGGAATTGGCTACCTTGGGAAAGAGGCTTCTTTGTATTCTTAATTCTTATATGTCTTAATTTCTCATATTCATTAACAGCTATCTTTGCCAGTGGTTACCATCATAACATGATCATTCCTGACAATGTTGTCATATGCCAAATATTTCATTACTTTTAGAAAATATCTGTTCCTTTTTATAAGAGTTTGTGATTCCCTACCATTGGTCTCCTTCAAAAAAAAGACTACAGACAATGCTAGTTAGACTCTGCTCATAGCCACCTGGCACACTCCACTCGGCAACTCACCTTGTGCTTACGCTTGCCCTTGGGGGCAGGTTTTTCAGCGGCAGTGCCAGCAGTTTGACGCTTGGGTTTCAAGGCAGTCTCCTTGTGATCTGTCTTGGCAGGTACTGCTAAGACTGTGTTTTGGCCTGGTACTCTCGAAAGTAAATCAAGGTTAATCTTCACCCAGAGGTTTTTTGGATTCTCATGATCTTGTAGAGGGGACAAAAGCTCAGTTTGCGTGGCAGAAGGAGGTGAAAATGCTGTTTCTTCATTGCTGGTGGATAAGTTGCTGCTGCTGCTGCTGCTGCTGCTGGTCAAGGTGCTGAGGGTCAGGCTGGCATTAGAAGTATCCTTAGATTTAGAAGTGTTAATTCCAGGAGCAATGCAAGGAGGCAGTACTTTGATCTGCAGGGTCTCTTCCTGGTCTGTGTTGGAGTCAGATGTAGATGAATCTGTTTCAATGAATTCCCGGGACTTTGGCACAATCTTTCCAGGCCCTCTATACTTCTTCTTCTCAGTGGCGGAGGGGGCATGAGGCCTCGGCTCTTTCCTAGGGACTGGTTTATGGGCAGTGGCTTTGTTGCGGCTTCGAGGTGGCTCAGGAAGCTCCACACTTTCCTTTTCTTTGGAAGTGGTGCTGGTAATATTTGCTTTGGGCCAGGTAAACTCCTCAAAGTTAGTATTTTTCTCAACCTTTTTGAGCTGTTTCTTCCCATTTGTCCTTTGAGAAACTGTATCAACTGTTGTTGACAACTTATGTTTCAAAGCCTTTGTTTCTGGGTTTTTCTGAGTGGGCCTTGGTCGAGCCTTCTCCCTAATGAGGCTGAGGAGAGGTCTTTCTTTGGGTCCAGTCACAGTCTGACTGGGATTTGGTTTCACTTTGACCTGGACTTCAACTGGTTGTATTATTGGAGGAGGCAGAGAAATGGTCTCCATGGGTGTCTCATTTTGGCCACAAATAAATGACTTGTTCTGGGATGTGACTTTGTTCAGCCATTTGTCTAGCTGCCATTTGTTGGTTGAGGGTGGCTCAGGCTGCAATTTGAGAAACAGCAACTAGGATGACTTTAGAGTGACTTTCTGTATAGTGACTATTTGCTAATAAAATCTTGGATGATGAGGACTGGAAATGTAGTTAGTAGAATAATTGCCTAACATGCATGGGTTTCATTCTTAGAACTACATAAATCAGGTGTTGATGTGAACATGAAGGAGGATCAAATGTTCAAGGATATTTTAATTACATATCAAGTTTATGTTTGCGGCTATTTTCAGCTACCTGAGACCTTGCAAACAAACAAACCAACAAACCAACAGACCACCTTGGATGGTGACAAACACACACACACACACACACACACACACACAGTCACTGAGAAACATAATTTCAATGAAGATTAAAATAGTGATTTGTTTTCCCTTTGTAACTAACTAGATAAAAGCCATTCTGCTGTAAATCAACCAAAGTCTGTTTTTCTTTAGCACAAGTTTCTATTGTCCCTTTGAAAAATACTCCCTACTCTAGCTGGGAAGTAAAGGGCTCTTCACAAGCAAATGCTTCAGACTGTAGCCCAGGGTTCCTGACAGAGAACACTTCTCCTAAAGTCTTTTGCTAAGAATCATAGATCAACCTATCACCAGGATACAGAGGTAATGTTGTCTGATTCTGAAAGGAAATCTAAGAGTATCTCAAGCATGTTCAGAAGGAACAGCTTTCCATCTTCAGAAATCCTGGGGTCTATTACAACGATGCTGTAATTCTCTGTGTTTTTACTGAAGGATTAAAAAACTTGACCCCCTCAAACCACAACACTTTCCTAAATACATGAGCAATAATCAATTTATAGGGATATGTATGTAGATTTTAGCATTCACTATTAAGCAATAGAAATGGTATATTCAATTCAGGCTCTTGATATTCAACTCTGAATTCTACCAATTTGAATAAACATCCATCAATTTTATTAGAAGAGATCGTCTCCTGAAAACCAAGCATGTGGCACCAGTAAACACAGGATGGCAGAATTAAGAAGAATTAAGTAGCTGTGATCCTTGCCTGTAGAAGATAATAGCAAGTAAGCATGAAGGAAAGTATATGAGCTGCTATGGCAGCACACTGACCTGGGTTTGTCAGTCCCAGCTTTACTACTGTATAACTGTGAGAGCTTGGTGTGGTTTGGGTTTAACTTCTCATAAACATACATTGTCACCTATAAAATGGACTATAGTGAGAGAGAGTACAGTATCGGGTTGTTAGTAAGAACAAATGAGAAAATGGAAGTCAAGTGTCCGGCACAGCATTTACTATTTTTAACAGCCATAAAATGACTATTGCCTTCTATTATTCCTTTCTGATTTTTGAAAAAAAAGTGTATAAAGAGCCATGAGATGAATTGAGATGAATTTCCTTGCTGCACCATATGCAGGCTCAGGGAACTAGAGCACTTATCCTCAACTCATATAGAATAGTAGGGAAAAATCTAATTCTCCTATTTCTAAGTTATTGTTCTGATGTTTTATTGTGCTAGGCTAAACATTTCATAACTTATTTTCAGACACATGGTATGAATTAATGTAAGGAGCATGTGACTACTTGAGTCTTGTTTTACCTTTATGGAAAGGTGCATTTCTCAAGACTTCATTGTTTACTATCCATTTATCGCTTTAATGATTTTAAATAGAATTAAGGATAGGTATCTTCAGATCCAGAAGTGGATTGTGACTGGCTTTTTTGGTTCATGTAAATAATTAGTTGCAAGCTTCATCATTAATGTACTATTTTTGGTGAGATGAGGCTTAAGGCTCAGACTAGCTAAGTGACTCCCACAGAAAATCAGTCATACAGCAGCAAGCAATCTGTGCAACACACATTGAGCCACACAGAAGGAATCATACTTATGCTTGGACATATACAGATATATGTTTTAGAGAAACAATCTTATCAAGTCTCTAGTATGCAAACTGGTGACATATGTGACATGTTACCTGATGCATCAGCACATAAATGGATGTTGGGGCCTTGGCAACTTCACTTACCTCTGGAGTGGCCACTCGAGGAGCCTCATTGGATTCACTGTCAGTAGTGCTGCTTTCAGTGTCTGAATCCGATTCTGAACTACTCTCAGACTCACTGGAGCTGCCAGACCCCCCATTTGCTTGGGCCACAGGTGGAGCCTGTGATGTGGCCAAGAGTGGGCTGGAAGAAAAATGACATCATTTATTGCCTCATGCACTCTCAGACTAGAAAGTAACAGCCATGTTCAACATAAAGACTTATTAACTGTGAGCTCCAGGCAGAGTAGAGCACGAAGACAAAGTATATGGCTCCAGGAGTAGAGAGACCTGGCCAATGTCAAAAATTTGATTAGAACCAAGCACCTTGGCCAAGCATAGTTTTCTATTCTTCCAGGAAAATCTGCCCACCTTCATATTCCACATGAAAACTTTCAGCAGATATTTTGTAAGCTGAGACTTACTTAACTGTTAACTGTTCCATTTATTGATTTCAGTTAAGTTTTTGTTATCTTATAGACATCCATCCCTAAGTTCTTAGAGTATAGCCTAGTGTAGTCATATTTACAAGAACTGGTAACTTCAATTTTTCTTTTATTGAAGGAAAGTAAAGTCCAGGGTCAAGGAGAGGCTTTCCTAGACCTCACAGCAGAGGATAGCATCCTGGTTCCATAGCTCCTTCAAAGGAGCTGTGCTCTGTTCATATTATTCCAAGGGTCTAAGGTGTGGTCCTCAATTTCAATCTGTTGGGTCCAGGAGTAAGGAAATGAGAAAATGTACTTCTTTGTGTTCTTCATTATCACTTTTGTAAATGCTTTGACACTTTTATCAAGGAGGTAAGATCCTGAGGTAACAACTATCTCCAATGATTGATTTTTAAATTCATAAAACTGATCTAACAAAGTTTTTGAAATGTTACACCATTCACTTACTCTACCTTTGATGGGAATTAACTCTTCTTTACCAATCATTTACTCTCTGTGCACTGCATCAAATCAACAGGCTTACAGTATACTGGGGCACGACATTGTTTTTCTGTCTTTTTGCCTATTGTTTCTTTGGATTAAATTTTGCCCTTCTTTCTCTTAGGAACTGTACAGGAAATAAACCACAAAACCCAAAACAACAACAACTGCAAAACCAAAACAAACTTTGAGGAGGGTTTTAATCTCATTGAATCTTTTCAGGCCCTTCTTCCTTTGGAGAGCAATTGATCTCAAAGCAAGGCTTGGGCCTTTTGCGTTTTCCCTATGGTCTCACCTTCTGCTTGCCCCCCCACCCCTGTGCTTCTTAGCTCTGACAGTATTGCTATTTTCCTGGCTTTCTCACCTAACATTCCTCAAATCTACGGCAAAAAGTTGAAACAAGAGGCCATGCCCTGACCTTGGGGGCCACCTAATTTTCTGCTCTCATCTTCAAACTTAAGATAATGACATTTCAAGAATTCCCTTGTGCAGGACTCGAGAAGCATAGACCTTTATTCCTGCCTGAAGCTATACTAGTTCATGCCCCATGCCACACCCTCAGCAGAGCCTCTTCTGGTCTAAGGATCTTGAAATGGGTAGGAGAAATTAGGAAAGTCCATCCATTGCACACTATATTCTAGACATGAATACTTTTATGATTTTTGAATAAATATTTCTAGAAACAATTGGGATTGAATCATAACACCATAATTAATGAGTAAAGAAAAATTATAGATAGACCAGTTTGCTTAATCAAATTATGTAGGCATCAAAAAGAAAATTCTGGATTGTATAATATGTAATATCTTTGAAGTGAGAAAAAGAAATGGAAAATTTTGACAAGAAAGCCCTTGGGATATTGACAGTGCCAACAAATGCCAAAAGACCCAGAACTTGCCAATGACATGTAGCATCAGATAAGTTTCAGGATAGACTTGTATTAAATTTTCTTTTAGTTGAGACTTATGCAAATTTTAACATAAACCTTTCCTAAATTTTATAAGGATTATATGTCTATCTACCAGATAATTTAGAATGATTTTATATTTGTGTTATTAATTAAATTGTGTAGAGATCTCTACATGATCTTTCCTGTTTTCCCCTCAAATATTACTTTATAAATTCTTTTTATAAATTTTGGGTTATAAATCTCTGTGTTTGAGGACTCCAGGAATACATTTTCTTCACCATGCTAGGTCATTTTGAATGCTGGACCTTTTCCAGCCAGAGGCATGAGAACAAACAAACCACTTTCTGTCCACATCAAGAAGTTTGAATTTTCCCAGTTTGTCGTCTAGGCTCCCTATTCTAATTCATTTGTCCAGTGGAAAGTCTACCAAGAGCTGAAAACACTGTAGAGGGTAAGCAGAAGAATGCTCTATGACAGAGATAAAATGCAAAGAAAATGGGATAGCCCTTAGTACCACTTACAGGCAAAATACCTTATCTCCTAATACTATCATAAGAAACAAAATATCATGCTGGAGAGGATGTGGTGACAGGGGAACACTCCTCCACTGCTGGTGGGAGTATCCACTTGTACAGCCACTTTGGAAAGCAGTATGGAGATTCCTCAGAAAAATGGGAATACACCTACCACAAGACCCAGCAACTCTACTCTTAGGCATATATCCAAAAGATGCCCATTCATACAACAAAGATGTCTGTTCCACTATGTTCATAGCAGCATTATTTGTAGTAGCCAGAACTTGGAAGCAACCTAGATGCCCCTCAACTGAAGAGTGGATAGAGAAAATGTGGTACATTTACACAATGGAGTACTACTCAGCAGAAAAAAAAAAAACATGGAATCCTGAAATTTGCAGGCAAATGGATGGCACTAGAAGAAACCATCCTGAGTGAGGTAACACAGTCACAAAAAGAGAAACATGGCATGTACTCTGTCATATATGGATTTTAGACATAGGTCTGGGGAGTGCCAGCCTACAATCCCATGGCCAGAGAGTCTGGGAAACAGAACCTTCATTCAGTGGCTGATGGAAGAAGAGGCAGATTCCCACGGCTCAGCACTGAGCTAAACTGAAGAAATCCAGTGACAGAGATGGAGGACTGATGACCAAAGTGGTTAAGACTGGACTGGTTTAACCCCCAGAAACAGCTGACCTGACAAGTGTTAGCTCTTGAATCCCAGACTGATGGCTGGGAATCCAGCATCAAGAGCCCCTGAATGTGGGTATCAGTGAGGAGGCCTCGGTAATCTATTAAGCCTTGGGTAAGTATTTATCCCGGGTATACAAATGGACTTTGGGCTCCCATCCAACAATGAGAGATGCACTCTCACCCTGAACTCTTGGGGGGGGGGGGGGGGGGTCCAGGCCCTGTCCTGGATAAAATGACAGACTAATCAGACCTGAGCTGGGATTTTAGTGGACTGACCAGACCAAGATGCTTGGGATTTTTTTTTGCCTGGGCCTGTTTTCAGTTCATTTAAATATATACACTTCCCCTGATGACTTTAGGAAAACTTGTTATAACCAGAAAGAGCATGGTGCTGGATAGCAGAGTATCTGATCTGATTTTGAGCAGCACCTTGGGCACTTTACCAGACATTCAACATAAGTTTCACTTTTCTTATCTGTGAATTAAGGAGAACACATTACATCACTTTTAAAGAGGACAATATGGTCATTCAGGCGATATAATTATTTTAACCAATGAACCTCAAACTTCATTGTGCGTGGGAATCACCTGGAGAGCTTGTTAGTGTGCAAGTTCTATTTAAGGAAGCCTGGGGCAGGGTCTGATTTCTGCATTTCTAATGCAGTTCCAATGGTATCTATACTGCTGGTGGACTCCACTGAGAGTAGCAGGCTAAATCTACACAGGGCTAATCAGGAAATAAACTGTTGGAGGAAAAAGAAAGTAATGAGCTCCAAAATTGAAATTAAAAGCTAAAACACAATTTGGATATCAAATATGGATTTCCAATAATTATTTTCTGCACCTTCTTTAATAACAATAATTTGGTTGCTGTCTGTCCTTTTAAAATTATAAACGATAAAACTTAACCTTTAGAGTTCAGGTCTACATGTGTGAGTGGATACATGCATGTGGGTATGTGAAACCCATGTGTGCATATGTGGAGATCAGAGATCGACAGTGGGTATCCTCCATTGCTCTTTACCTTCTTTTTGAAGACAGGCTTCTCGTTAAACCTAAAGATCATTTATTTAGCTAGACTGGACAGCCTGGGCATGAGGTTCTAGGGATCTCTGTCTGTCTCTGCAACAGTCCCTACACAATTGTCCAAGCACTGGGTGTGCAGTTACATACTGTGTGCCACAGTACCCGATTTGTTATGTATGTGCTGTTTCCAAACACAGGTTCTTATGCTTGTATACCAAGTTTTTACTCACCATGACATCTTTCTAAACTCTCTTTGATTCCCCATCCCCTTTTTAGCCTTCTTTAAGCAATCATTCCTAAAGAGTTTTTATTAGACACCTGATAAACAGGGACTTCTGTTTGAAACTTTCTTGACACCTTTATCTGCACCAATAATTACCCAAATGCATGATTCTTCCACTTGATATGCCCTAAGAATTACTAATGAGGTTCTGAAATGAGATAATCTGTCTCAAACAAACATTTGGGGGAGGACAGACTATATTGATGAGTATTTCTAGTAACCAAGTTTAATCCATAATGGCAATGCAGTTACGAGTACAACTTACTGAACTTTATTCTGTACCAGGAATTGGGTTACCCACATTTTCCCTGAATCTCTTCTTTTAATGTGTATGTCAGTACTTAGCTACCATACCTTTTTCATTTACAGCTGTGAATACTGATGCTAAGCACACAGTAATAACAAGATGGATAACACTTGAAATAATTTAGAAACTTAACATCCAGTTTCAAAGAAAAAGAAAATATAAAGACACTGAATTCTGCCTCCCTACAGTACCTACAGGGTTTTTAATATGGAAGATGCTGGGGAGACTAGCTAGTGTCTGCTAATGGGATATTACATCATGAATACATCAATATTTGCGTGACATTTTAATTTGTCTGTGTAATTTGGAATCCACATTGACATTTTTGCTACCACACATAACTGGTACAATCAGACAACCTAATAAATGGGGGGAAACATGCTTGGGTACCCTTTATCTTTAGAGATTGCTTGTTAACAATGGGAACAAGGGAAACAAATTCAGGGAAAATTGAACCCTAAGACCCTGGTCTCCACGGAGAC